CTGGTCGAAGCAGCCCAAAATCTCCGGTCGAAGCAGCCCTAAATCTCCGGTCGAAGCAGCCCAAAATCTCCGGTCGAAGCAGCCCAAAATCTCTGGTCGAAGCAGCCCAAAATCTCCGGTCGAAGCAGCCCAAAATCTCCGGTCGAAGCAGCCCAAAATCTCCGGTCGAAGCAGCCCAAAATCTCCGGTCGAAGCAGCCCAAAATCTCTGGTCGAAGCAGCCCAAAATCTCTGGTCGAAGCAGCCCAAAATCTCCGGTCGAAGCAGCCCAAAATCTCCGGTCGAAGCAGCCCAAAATCTCTGGTGGAACCAGCCCAAAATCTCTGGTCGAAGCAGCCCGAAATCTCCGGTCGAAGCAGCCCAAAATCTCTGGTGGAACCAGCCCAAAATCTCTGGTCGAAGCAGCCCAAAATCTCTGGTGGAACCAGCCCAAAATCTCCGGTCGAAGCAGCCCAAAATCTCCGGTCGAAGCAGCCCAAAATCTCCGGTCGAAGCAGCCCTAAATCTCCGGTCGAAGCAGCCCTAAATCTCCGGTCGAAGCAGCCCTAAATCTCCGGTCGAAGCAGCCCTAAATCTCCGGTCGAAGCAGCCCTAAATCTCCGGTCGAAGCAGCCCAAAATCTCCGGTCGAAGCAGCCCGAAATCTCCGGTCGAAGCAGCCCAAAATCTCCGGTCGAAGCAGCCCAAAATCTCCGGTCGAAGCAGCCCAAAATCTCCGGTCGAAGCAGCCCAAAATCTCCGGTCGAAGCAGCCCAAAATCTCCGGTCGAAGCAGCCCAAAATCTCCGGTCGAAGCAGCCCAAAATCTCCGGTCGAAGCAGCCCAAAATCTCCGGTCGAAGCAGCCCAAAATCTCCGGTCGAAGCAGCCCAAAATCTCCGGTCGAAGCAGCCCAAAATCTCCGGTCGAAGCAGCCCAAAATCTCCGGTCGAAGCAGCCCAAATCTCCGGTCGAAGCAGCCCAAAATCTCCGGTCGAAGCAGCCCAAAATCTCCGGTCGAAGCAGCCCAAAATCTCCGGTCGAAGCAGCCCAAATCTCCGGTCGAAGCAGCCCAAAATCTCCGGTCGAAGCAGCCCAAAATCTCCGGTCGAAGCAGCCCAAAATCTCCGGTCGAAGCAGCCCAAAATCTCCGGTCGAAGCAGCCCAAAATCTCCGGTCGAAGCAGCCCAAAATCTCCGGTCGAAGCAGCCCAAAATCTCCGGTCGAAGCAGCCCAAAATCTCCGGTCGAAGCAGCCCAAAATCTCCGGTCGAAGCAGCCCAAAATCTCCGGTCGAAGCAGCCCAAAATCTCCGGTCGAAGCAGCCCAAAATCTCCGGTCGAAGCAGCCCAAAATCTCTGGTCGAACAGCCCAAAATCTCCGGTCGAAGCAGCCCAAAATCTCTGGTGGAACCAGCCCAAAATCTCCGGTCGAAGCAGCCCAAAATCTCCGGTCGAAGCAGCCCAAAATCTCCGGTCGAAGCAGCCCAAAATCTCCGGTCGAAGCAGCCCAAAATCTCCGGTCGAAGCAGCCCAAAATCTCCGGTCGAAGCAGCCCAAAATCTCCGGTCGAAGCAGCCCAAAATCTCGGTCGAAGCAGCCCAAAATCTCCGGTCGAAGCAGCCCAAAATCTCCGGTCGAAGCAGCCCAAAATCTCCGGTCGAAGCAGCCCAAAATCCGGTCGAAGCAGCCCAAAATCTCCGGTCGAAGCAGCCCAAAATCTCCGGTCGAAGCAGCCCAAAATCTCCGGTCGAAGCAGCCCAAAATCTCCGGTCGAAGCAGCCCTAAATCTCCGGTCGAAGCAGCCCAAAATCTCCGGTCGAAGCAGCCCAAAATCTCCGGTCGAAGCAGCCCAAAATCTCGGTCGAAGCAGCCCAAAATCTCCGGTCGAAGCAGCCCAAAATCTCCGGTCGAAGCAGCCCAAAATCTCCGGTCGAAGCAGCCCAAAATCTCCGGTCGAAGCAGCCCAAAATCTCCGGTCGAAGCAGCCCAAAATCTCTGGTCGAAGCAGCCCAAAATCTCCGGTCGAAGCAGCCCTAAATCTCCGGTCGAAGCAGCCCAAAATCTCGGTCGAAGCAGCCCAAAATCTCTGGTCGAAGCAGCCCAAAATCTCCGGTCGAAGCAGCCCAAAATCTCTGGTGGAACCAGCCCAAAATCTCTGGTCGAAGCAGCCCAAAATCTCTGGTGGAACCAGCCCAAAATCTCCGGTCGAAGCAGCCCAAAATCTCCGGTCGAAGCAGCCCAAAATCTCCGTCGAAGCAGCCCTAAATCTCCGGTCGAAGCAGCCCAAAATCTCCGGTCGAAGCAGCCCAAAATCTCCGGTCGAAGCAGCCCAAAATCTCCGGTCGAAGCAGCCCAAAATCTCCGGTCGAAGCAGCCCAAAATCTCCGGTCGAAGCAGCCCAAAATCTCCGGTCGAAGCAGCCCAAAATCTCCGGTCGAAGCAGCCCAAAATCTCCGGTCGAAGCAGCCCAAAATCTCCGGTCGAAGCAGCCCAAAATCTCCGGTCGAAGCAGCCCAAAATCTCCGGTCGAAGCAGCCCAAAATCTCCGGTCGAAGCAGCCCAAAATCTCCGGTCGAAGCAGCCCAAAATCTCCGGTCGAAGCAGCCCAAAATCTCCGGTCGAAGCAGCCCAAAATCTCCGGTCGAAGCAGCCCAAAATCTCCGGTCGAAGCAGCCCAAAATCTCCGGTCGAAGCAGCCCAAAATCTCCGGTCGAAGCAGCCCAAAATCTCCGGTCGAAGCAGCCCTAAATCTCCGGTCGAAGCAGCCCAAAATCTCCGGTCGAAGCAGCCCAAAATCTCCGGTCGAAGCAGCCCAAAATCTCCGGTCGAAGCAGCCCAAAATCTCCGGTCGAAGCAGCCCAAAATCTCCGGTCGAAGCAGCCCAAAATCTCCGGTCGAAGCAGCCCAAAATCTCCGGTCGAAGCAGCCCAAAATCTCCGGTCGAAGCAGCCCAAAATCTCCGGTCGAAGCAGCCCAAAATCTCCGGTCGAAGCAGCCAAAATCTCCGGTCGAAGCAGCCCAAAATCTCCGGTCGAAGCAGCCCAAAATCTCTGGTCGAAGCAGCCCAAAATCTCCGGTCGAAGCAGCCCAAAATCTCCGTCGAAGCAGCCCAAAATCTCCGGTCGAAGCAGCCCAAAATCTCCGGTCGAAGCAGCCCAAAATCTCCGGTCGAAGCAGCCCAAAATCTCTGGTCGAAGCAGCCCAAAATCTCCGGTCGAAGCAGCCCAAAATCTCAGGTCGAAGCAGCCCAAAATCTCCGGTCGAAGCAGCCCAAAATCTCAGGTCGAAGCAGCCCTAAAATCTCAGGTCGAAGCAGCCCTAAAATCTCAGGTCGAAGCAGCCCTAAATCTCAGGTCGAAGCAGCCCTAAATCTCCGGTCGAAGCAGCCCTAAATCTCAGGTCGAAGCAGCCCTAAAATCTCTGGTCGAAGCAGCCCAAAATCTCCGGTCGAAGCAGCCCTAAATCTCCGGTCGAAGCAGCCCAAAATCTCTGGTCGAAGCAGCCCAAAATCTCTGGTCGAAGCAGCCCAAAATCTCCGGTCGAAGCAGCCCAAAATCTCAGGTCGAAGCAGCCCAAAATCTCCGGTCGAAGCAGCCCAAAATCTCAGGTCGAAGCAGCCCAAAATCTCAGGTCGAAGCAGCCCAAATCTCAGGTCGAAGCAGCCCAAATCTCAGGTCGAGCAGCCCTAAATCTCAGGTCGAAGCAGCCCTAAATCTCAGGTCGAAGCAGCCCTAAATCTCAGGGCTGATGAAGGTCTGATTTGGGGCCTGTCCCAGTCAGCCGAAACTAGTTTGCGTTTTAATCTTCTAGTGGAGTTGAGTTCGGAGCTTCGAATTCTCGGTTTTTAACAGGGGTATCAATTCACCCACTGTCACTCTTTTTGCTAAAGTTTCTCCTCTTCGCTGCTGCCCACCCTAACGCTTAATGGCTACAAGGTCGAAGCAGCCCTAAATCTCCGGTCGAAGCAGCCCTAAATCTCCGGTCGAAGCAGCCCTAAATCTCCGGTCGAAGCAGCCCTAAATCTCCGGTCGAAGCAGCCCTAAATCTCCGGTCGAAGCAGCCCTAAATCTCCGGTCGAAGCAGCCCAAATCTCCGGTCGAAGCAGCCCAAAATCTCCGGTCGAAGCAGCCCTAAATCTCCGGTCGAAGCAGCCCTAAATCTCCGGTCGAAGCAGCCCTAAATCTCCGGTCGAAGCAGCCCTAAATCTCCGGTCGAAGCAGCCCTAAATCTCCGGTCGAAGCAGCCCAAAATCTCCGGTCGAAGCAGCCCGAAATCTCCGGTCGAAGCAGCCCAAAATCTCCGGTCGAAGCAGCCCAAAATCTCCGGTCGAAGCAGCCCAAAATCTCCGGTCGAAGCAGCCCAAAATCTCCGGTCGAAGCAGCCCAAAATCTCCGGTCGAAGCAGCCCAAAATCTCCGGTCGAAGCAGCCCAAAATCTCCGGTCGAAGCAGCCCAAAATCTCCGGTCGAAGCAGCCCAAAATCTCCGGTCGAAGCAGCCCAAAATCTCCGGTCGAAGCAGCCCAAAATCTCCGGTCGAAGCAGCCCAAAATCTCCGGTCGAAGCAGCCCAAATCTCCGGTCGAAGCAGCCCAAAATCTCCGGTCGAAGCAGCCCTAAATCTCCGGTCGAAGCAGCCCTAAATCTCCGGTCGAAGCAGCCCTAAATCTCCGGTCGAAGCAGCCCTAAATCTCCGGTCGAAGCAGCCCTAAATCTCCGGTCGAAGCAGCCCAAAATCTCCGGTCGAAGCAGCCCAAAATCTCCGGTCGAAGCAGCCCTAAATCTCCGGTCGAAGCAGCCCTAAATCTCCGGTCGAAGCAGCCCTAAATCTCCGGTCGAAGCAGCCCTAAATCTCCGGTCGAAGCAGCCCAAATCTCCGGTCGAAGCAGCCCAAAATCTCCGGTCGAAGCAGCCCTAAATCTCCGGTCGAAGCAGCCCAAAATCTCCGGTCGAAGCAGCCCAAATCTCCGGTCGAAGCAGCCCAAATCTCCGGTCGAAGCAGCCCAAAATCTCCGGTCGAAGCAGCCCAAAATCTCCGGTCGAAGCAGCCCAAAATCTCCGGTCGAAGCAGCCCAAAATCTCTGGTCGAAGCAGCCCAAAATCTCCGGTCGAAGCAGCCCTAAATCTCCGGTCGAAGCAGCCCAAAATCTCCGGTCGAAGCAGCCCAAAATCTCTGGTCGAAGCAGCCCAAAATCTCCGGTCGAAGCAGCCCAAAATCTCCGGTCGAAGCAGCCCAAAATCTCCGGTCGAAGCAGCCCAAAATCTCCGGTCGAAGCAGCCCAAAATCTCTGGTCGAAGCAGCCCAAAATCTCTGGTCGAAGCAGCCCAAAATCTCCGGTCGAAGCAGCCCAAAATCTCCGGTCGAAGCAGCCCAAAATCTCTGGTGGAACCAGCCCAAAATCTCTGGTCGAAGCAGCCCAAATCTCCGGTCGAAGCAGCCCAAAATCTCTGGTGGAACCAGCCCAAAATCTCTGGTCGAAGCAGCCCAAAATCTCTGGTGGAACCAGCCCAAAATCTCCGGTCGAAGCAGCCCAAAATCTCCGGTCGAAGCAGCCCAAAATCTCCGGTCGAAGCAGCCCTAAATCTCCGGTCGAAGCAGCCCAAAATCTCCGGTCGAAGCAGCCCAAAATCTCGGTCGAAGCAGCCCAAAATCTGGTCGAAGCAGCCCAAAATCTCCGGTCGAAGCAGCCCAAAATCTCCGGTCGAAGCAGCCCAAAATCTCGGTCGAAGCAGCCCAAAATCTCCGGTCGAAGCAGCCCAAAATCTCCGGTCGAAGCAGCCCAAAATCTCCGGTCGAAGCAGCCCAAAATCTCCGGTCGAAGCAGCCCAAAATCTCCGGTCGAAGCAGCCCAAAATCTCCGGTCGAAGCAGCCCAAAATCTCCGGTCGAAGCAGCCCAAAATCTCCGGTCGAAGCAGCCCAAAATCTCCGGTCGAAGCAGCCCAAAATCTCCGGTCGAAGCAGCCCAAAATCTCCGGTCGAAGCAGCCCAAAATCTCCGGTCGAAGCAGCCCAAAATCTCCGGTCGAAGCAGCCCAAAAATCTCCGGTCGAAGCAGCCCAAAAATCTCCGGTCGAAGCAGCCCCTAAATCTCCGGTCGAAGCAGCCCAAAATCTCCGGTCGAAGCAGCCCAAAATCTCCGGTCGAAGCAGCCCAAAATCTCCGGTCGAAGCAGCCCAAAATCTCCGGGTCGAAAGCAGCCCAAAATCTTCCGGTCGAAGCAGCCCAAAATCTCCGGTCGAAGCAGCCCCAAAATCTCCGGTCGAAGCAGCCCAAAAATCTCCGGTCGAAGCAGCCCAAAATCTCGGTCGAAGCAGCCAACCCCGCCCCCCCGTCGAAGCAGCCCAAAATCTCCGGTCGAAGCAGCCCAAAATCTCCGGTCGAAGCAGCCCAAAATCTCTGGTCGAAGCAGCCCAAAATCTCTGGTCGAAAGCAGCCCAAAATCTCCGGTCGAAGCAGCCCAAAATCTCTGGTGCGAAACCAGCCCAAAATCTCTGGTCGAAGCAGCCCAAAATCTCTGGTCGAAGCAGCCCCAAAATCTCCGGTCGAAGCAGCCCAAAATCTCCGGTCGAAGCAGCCCAAAATCTCCGGTCGAAGCAGCCCAAAATCTCCGGTCGAAGCAGCCCAAATCTCCGGTCGAAGCAGCCCAAAATCTCCGGTCGAAGCAGCCCAAAATCTCCGGTCGAAGCAGCCCAAAATCTCCGTCGAAGCAGCCCAAAATCTCCGGTCGAAGCAGCCCAAAATCTCCGGTCGAAGCAGCCCAAAATCTCCGGTCGAAGCAGCCCAAAATCTCCGGTCGAAGCAGCCCAAATCTCCGGTCGAAGCAGCCCAAATCTCCGGTCGAAGCAGCCCAAAATCTCCGGTCGAAGCAGCCCAAAATCTCCGGTCGAAGCAGCCCAAAAATCTCGGTCGAGCAGCCCAAAATCTCCGGTCGAAGCAGCCCAAATCTCCGGTCGAAGCAAGCCCAAAATCTCTGGTCGAAGCAGCCCAAAATCTCCGGTCGAAGCAGCCCAAAATCTCTGGTGGAACCAGCCCAAAATCTCTGGTCGAAGCAGCCCAAAATCTCCGGTCGAAGCAGCCCAAAATCTCCGGTCGAAGCAGCCCAAAATCTCCGGTCGAAGCAGCCCAAAATCTCCGGTCGAAGCAGCCCAAAATCTCCGGTCGAAGCAGCCCAAAATCTCCGGTCGAAGCAGCCCAAAATCTCCGGTCGAAGCAGCCCAAAATCTCCGGTCGAAGCAGCCCAAAATCTCCGGTCGAAGCAGCCCAAAATCTCCGGTCGAAGCAGCCCAAAATCTCCGGTCGAAGCAGCCCAAAATCTCCGGTCGAAGCAGCCCAAAATCTCCGGTCGAAGCAGCCCAAAATCTCCGGTCGAAGCAGCCCAAAATCTCCGGTCGAAGCAGCCCAAAATCTCCGGTCGAAGCAGCCCAAAATCTCCGGTCGAAGCAGCCCAAAATCTCCGGTCGAAGCAGCCCAAAATCTCCGGTCGAAGCAGCCCAAAATCTCCGGTCGAAGCAGCCCTAAATCTCCGGTCGAAGCAGCCCAAAATCTCCGGTCGAAGCAGCCCTAAATCTCCGGTCGAAGCAGCCCAAAATCTCCGGTCGAAGCAGCCCTAAATCTCCGGTCGAAGCAGCCCAAAATCTCCGGTCGAAGCAGCCCTAAATCTCCGGTCGAAGCAGCCCAAAATCTCCGGTCGAAGCAGCCCTAAATCTCCGGTCGAAGCAGCCCTAAATCTCCGGTCGAAGCAGCCCAAAATCTCCGGTCGAAGCAGCCCAAAATCTCCGGTCGAAGCAGCCCTAAATCTCCGGTCGAAGCAGCCCAAAATCTCCGGTCGAAGCAGCCCGAAATCTCAGGGCTGCACCTACTCAACTGCCAGAGCATCTGGGAGTGCGTGGGTGGGGGGAGGTGTCTGTCTCTCCCATCCCCCTTCTCTCCCATTCATCCCCTTCTCTCCCTCTCTCTCACTCCCTTTTCCCTCCCAAGTGGTCCCTTCTCCCTCCCTCTCTCCCTCCCTCCCCTTCCTTCCCCTCCCCTCCCGCTTCCCCCCTTTTCAGCGGCCTGCTGGGCGCTGTTGCCGGTGGCAGCGATCGAGTCAGCCTATGCGATAGCGTACGGGTCGAACCAGCCCAACATATCGGGGCAGCACATACTCAACTGCCAGGGCACGTGGGAGTGCGTGGGCGGCATCCCGTCAGACGCCTTCCAGTTTGCTGCCTCCGGGGGAGTGCTCTCGGATTACATGGTGCCCTACACCGGTGTTAAGGATGCTACTAACTGTGGGGTGAGTCCGAAGACGGGGGTTCAGTCATTGGGGAAGGAGGGATCATTGCTGGATCATTGGGGCCAGCACACATACTCAACTGCCAGGGCACGCGGGAGTGCGTGGGCAGCAACCACTCAGACGCCTTCCAGTTTGCAGCCACCGGGGAGTGCTCTCGGATTGAATGGTGCCCTATACTTGCGTGCGCGACTGCTTTTGAGGCGCCTCAAAAGCAGTGCTCTCGGATTACATGGTGCCCTATACTTGCGTGCGCGACACTACCAACTGTGGGGTGAGTGGGTGAAGGGCGAGTTAGGTTTTTGAGAATTCTCGGATTACATGGTGCCCTATACTTGCGTGCGTGACGTTACGAACTGTGGGGTGAGTGAGTAAAGGGCGGTCAGTGGTCGTCAGTGTTTGCTCCCTCAGTGGGAAGGCGTTCTTATTTTTGAGAATTCTCAAAAACAAAACACGTCAATGGTCAGTGTTTGCTCCCTTAGTGGGAAGGCGTTCTTAGCGCACCTGGGATTGCGTGGGCGGCATAACCTCAGGCGCTTTCTTATTTGCCACTTGGGGAGTGCTCTCGGAATACATGGTGCCACACACTTTTTGAGGCGCCTCAAAAATCGTCTCAACTCACTTGGGGAGTGCTCTCGGAATACATGGTGCCACACACTGGCGAGCGCGATGCTACCAACTGCGGGGTGAGTGGAGATTGGGGGTCAAGGTTGGGGTTGGGCTCAGGGCCTCCAGTTTCCAGCCACGGGAGGAGTGCTCTTGGATTACATGGTGCCATACACTGGCGTGCGTGTGTGGATCTGAATCTTTCAGAATTCTTCCCGCCCGATATATGGTTCTTGAGAAGTCTCAAAGATCCCATCAAACGATGGGGAATACCCATGCCTCTTTCGTTTCCCTCCCCCCTTTGTTCTGCGCGTGCTTCTAAACTCTTTCTCGAATGGTCCTCTTTCTCTTTCTCTTTCTCTTTCTCTTTCTCACTTTATTTTTCTTCTCCCAGCCTGCTGCAAGGCGCCGCCTCTCAGCGTCCTTCCCACCAGACCTCTGGTTCGACCGGGCGCTAGGGGATCACCATGCATCTGTTTTGCCACTCCACTCTTGGTCTGTGCTCTTGTTTCCACTCTCTCTCCCCCCAGCCTGCTGCAAGGCGGCGCCTTGCAGCGTCCTTCCCACCGGACCTCTGGTTCGACCGGGCACTAGAAGATCACCGTGCCTCCACACAAGGCTCCTCGCTGCAACAACAGTCACCATCAGGAGGCCTCGCCTCTTCTGCTAGACGCCACGCCTCCAACTTCGCCCCGTCTCCTCCTGCCCTCCTTGCTCCTCCTGCCTCTCCTGCCGATTCCTTTACTCCTCCTCATCCCCCCCCTCCTCCGTACACTGCTCCCAGCCGTCTCTCGGAACTGAGCTTCAAAGGCCATCCCCCTGAATCGCCGCTGCACTCCCCTCCTCCTCTCCCTCCTCCTCCTCCATCCGTCTTCTCCAACCTGCTCTCCTCCCTCTTCCAAATCCCTCGCGCCCGCATCCTCCAATCATCATCATTGTCTTCCTCCTCCTCCTCCTCCTCCTTCTCCTCCTCCTTACTTCCCTCCTCTGCCTCCTCCTTCCGCTCATTCTCCTCCTCCTCTCGACCGTCCTCCATGGGCAAAATCAAACCCCTAAAGAAGAAGACCAAGAAGAAGCCCCCCCCTGCACCTGCCGCTGAGCCGCTCCCGGGCCCGTACACAATCGCCATGTTTGAGCAGGTGTCGGTGTCTGGTTGGCTGGGCATGGTGCTGGCGCTGCAGGCGCAGCCAATCATCGCCAACGTGGAGGCAGATCAGACGTCCTTCATGGATTACGCTGGGGTGAGTGCGAGGGGGGGGGGGAGTGGAGGGGGGGGGGGGGGGTGGGGGTGGTAGATGTGGATAGGATTGGGTTGAGAGAATGCAGGCTCAGCCAATCATCGCCAACGTGGAGGCGGATCAGCCGTCCTTCATGGATTACGCTGGGGTGAGTGTGAGGAGGGTGGGGGAGTGGGAAGGGGGGGGGGGTGGGGGTTGATGTTGATAGGAATGGGCTGGAGAAAGCAGGCGCAGCCAATGAAAGCCCATGTGGAGGCAGGCGGATCAGACGTCCTCATGGAATATGCTGGGGTGAGTGAGAAGAGGGGGGGAAGGAGAAGGGAGGGGGGGAAGGAGAAGGGAGGGGGGGGGGATGAGGATCGGGGTTTGTAGATGTGGATAGGATTGGGTTGAGAGAATGCAGGCACAGCCAATCGACTCATTACTCACAGCAAATCATCGCTAACGTGGAGGCGGATCAGACGTCCTTCATGGAATATGCTGGGGTGAGTTGGAGAGGGAGGGGGGAGTATACAGTACAGGGGTTGTTGGAAGGGGTGTGATGCAGGGCGGTGTTGGGAGGGGTGTGATGCTGGGCGGTGTTGGGAGGGGTGTGATGCAGGGCGGTGTTGGGAGGGGTGTGATGCAGGGCGGTGTTGGGAGGGGTGTGATGCAGGGCGGTGTTGGGAGGGGTGTGATGCTGGGCGGTGTTGGGAGGGGTGTGATGCAGGGCGGTGTTGGGAGGGGTGTGATGCTGGGCGGTGTTGGGAGGGGTGTGATGCAGGGCGGTGTTGGGAGGGGTGTGATGCAGGGCGGTGTTGGGAGGGGTGTGATGCTGGGCGGTGTTGGGAGGGGTGTGATGCTGGGCGGTGTTGGGAGGGGTGTGATGCAGGGCGGTGTTGGGAGGGGTGTGATGCTGGGCGGTGTTGGGAGGGGTGTGATGCAGGGCGGTGTTGGGAGGGGTGTGATGCAGGGCGGTGTTGGGAGGGGTGTGATGCAGGGCGGTGTTGGGAGGGGTGTGATGCAGGGCGGTGTTGGGAGGGGTGTGATGCTGGGCGGTGTTGGGAGGGGTGTGATGCAGGGCGGTGTTGGGAGGGGTGTGATGCAGGGCGGTGTTGGGAGGGGTGTGATGCAGGGCGGTGTTGGGAGGGGTGTGATGCTGGGCGGTGTTGGGAGGGGTGTGATGCAGGGCGGTGTTGGGAGGGGTGTGATGCTGGGCGGTGTTGGGAGGGGTGTGATGCAGGGCGGTGTTGGGAGGGGTGTGATGCAGGGCGGTGTTGGGAGGGGTGTGATGCAGGGCGGTGTTGGGAGGGGTGTGATGCTGGGCGGTGTTGGGAGGGGTGTGATGCAGGGCGGTGTTGGGAGGGGTGTGATGCAGGGCGGTGTTGGGAGGGGTGTGATGCAGGGGGGTTGTTGGAAGGAAGGTACAAAGATGGCGGGGGAGAGTATACGGGGAATGGGAAGATTTTTGAGGCGCCTCAAAAATCGTATACGGGGAATGGGAACATGCCTATGCTCCCCATTCCCCACTCCGCTTCCCCCCACTCCCTCCCGACACCACATTCCCCCGTTCCCCACATTCCAGGGCCACATCCACGCTGACACGCTGACACGCTGACAAACTGCTTTGAGGCGCCTCAAAACTGTTCCCCACTTTCCACTTTTGAGTCGACTCAAAAGCAGACTGTTCCTCACATTCCAGGGCCACATGCATGCTGACATGCTGACCCCAACTGCGTTATCAACGCGGTGGTGAACCGTGAACCACATAGTGCTGAGAGAAACGTAATTGATAGATTGAGAGGGGGATGATACAAGACTTTGTACCTAGGTCAATCCTAGGTCAAGGAGGGGTTGTCCGTCCCCACCATTATTGGGTGGACCAATAATGGTTGGGAAGGTCGACCACGAATCATTGGAGGGCCAGCAATATTGGGTTGGCCAACACTGCTGGAGCTCTCGAGAATGGGGGTCAAGGGTTGGTTGACCTAACCAACCTCAACCTTCATCTACAATACAATATTAACACACTACATGCTATAGATATACGATATAATCTAACAAGGGCTGTTTTTGGGGTACAGCATGGTGGGAGCCACGCGCTACTGAACCTGCCACTACTCCTGTCTTCCCCTCTCCAGGGGTACATCTATGCGGATCCCGACTGCTTCATCAATGGGGTGGTGAACCACATCGTGCTGCTGGTGGGGTACAGCATGGTGGGAGCCACGCCGTACTTCATCCTGCAAAACTCCTGGGGATCCACCTGGGGACAAAACGGCTTCATGCAGATGGCCATCCAATCAGGTGCCTCCTCTACCTCACTATTCATGCTGTTGGTGACAACCAAAAAAAAAAAAAAAACTCTGGCAGCACGTGGAATGCTGTTGCCTGGGCCTTGAACTCAACCGCTTTCCTCTCAAGTGCCTCGCACTCAACCGCTCCCCCCGCCTGTACCTCCCTTCCTGTGCAGGAGATGGCATCTTTGCCGGCCCTTTTCCCTGTCGCCTGCGACCCCAACCTGGGTGTGCCGAATCCGCAACGAACACACGACGACCTAACACTTTTCCTTATCCTCCCCCCCCCGCTCCCCCCCCCACTCCTTCAGGAGATGGCATCTGCGACATCAACTCCTCGCCTGCGCTCTACCCTGTTGTCCGCGGGCCCAACCCGTGTGGGCCGAACCCATATTCAGCATATGGAGCATATTCCCACTTTCCCTTATCCCCCCCCTCACAGGAGATGGCATCTGTGGTGTCAATACCTCGCCTGCGCTCTACCCTGTTGTCCGCGGGCCCAACCCGTGTGTGCCGAACCCGTGTGGGGGGGGCACGTGCAGCCCTGGCCGGGGGCCGGGGGGCTATACATGCAAGTGCAAGACGTACTTTGTAGTGGGGAAGAACGTGGACCAGTCTCCTGTGTGCATCCCATGTATGTATGTATGGGGGCTTGGCGTGTGGTGGGGGAGGGGGGGGGGAGAGAGAGGGGGGGAGGAACGTGCATAGCGCCAAGGGGTGTCAGGGGGCTACACGTGCAAGTGCAAGGCGTACTTTGTAGTGGGGAAGAACGTGGACCAGTCTCCTGTGTGCATTCTATGTACATATGGGGGCATGTGTAGGGTCATGGTGTCGGCTGGATAGGGGAGGGACGTGCATTGCGCCAGGGGGGCCAGGGACGTGCAGGCGTGCAGGCGTGCAGGCGTGCAGGCGTGCAGGCGTGCAGACGTGCAGGCGTGCAGACGTGCAGGCGTGCAGGCGTGCAGGCGTGCAGGCGTGCAGGCGTGCAGGCGTGCAGACGTGCAGGCGTGCAGACGTGCAGGCGTGCAGACGTGCAGGCGTGCAGACGTGCAGGCGTGCAGACGTGCAGGCGTGCAGGCGTGCAGACGTGCAGGCGTGCAGACGTGCAGGCGTGCAGGCGTGCAGGCGTGCAGGCGTGCAGACGTGCAGGCGTGCAGGCGTGCAGGCGTGCAGGCGTGCAGGCGTGCAGGCGTGCAGGCGTGCAGGCGTGCAGGCGTGCAGACGTGCAGGCGTGCAGACGTGCAGGCGTGCAGACGTGCAGGCGTGCAGACGTGCAGACGTACTCGGTTGTAATGAAAACAGGGAAGCATTGACTAGTTGCATCTGTGCACTCCAAGTATGTATGAGTGCATACTGTAAGTGCATACTGTAAGTGCATACTGTAAGTGCATACTGTAAGTGCGCACTGTAAATGCATACTGTAAGTGCGTACTGTAAGTGCATACTGTAAGTGCATACTGTAAGTGCATACTGAAAGTGCATACTGTAAGTGCATACTGTAAGTGCATACTGTAAGTGCATACTGTAAGTGCATACTGGAAGTGCATACTGTAAGTGCATACTGAAAGTGCATACTGAAAGTGCATACTGTAAGTGCATACTGTAAGTGCATACTGTAAGTGCATACTGTAATTGCATACTGTAAGTGCATACTGTAAGTGCATACTGTAAGTGCATACTGTAAGTGCATACTGAAAGTGCATACTGTAAGTGCATACTGTAAGTGCATACTGTAAGTGCGTACTGTAAGTGCGCACTGTAAGTGCATACTGTAAGTGCATACTGTAAGTGCATACTGTAAGTGCATACTGTAATTGCATACTGTAAGTGCATACTGAAAGTGCATACTGTAAGTGCATACTGTAAGTGCATACTGTAAGTGCGCACTGTAAATGCATACTGTAAGTGCGTACTGTAAGTGCGTACTGTAAGTGCGTACTGTAAGTGCGTACTGTAAGTGCGTACTCTGTAAGTGCATGTCTGAGCTGTGAAGCCATGCTCCCCTCCCCTTTCTCCCAGCCCGCTTCTCCTCCCACCTGTTGTGAGCAGAACCTGCCGTAAGCCCCCGTCAGGTGGTGACGCGAACCCCTGCATAGTTTAGAGGCACCTCAAAACTAGATTCTGAGCCTCTAAACCTGCAGTAAGCCCTGCGCCCCCTGCGGGTTCATGTCAGGTGGGGTGGTGACAATTTTTGAGGCGCCTCAAAAAGCGAACCCCTGCGTCTGCACTAACCACCCCGCCCGTCCTCCCTCCTTTCATCCTTCCCTTTCTTGCTGTCTCACGACCTCCCCTCCTCCCCCCATTTCTCCCCTCTGTCGAAACAGTGAAGCCATGCTCTCTAAACGCGGTGAACCCCTGTCAGGTGGGCACCTGCCTGGACGACAGCAAGGGCAGCTACAACTGCATCTGTCCACCGGGGTTCTTCTTCGACAAGCGCCCGGACAACACCCCCTCCTGCATCCTCGGTATGTGCCCCTCCCCAGTGTTCTAGGTGTGTACCCTTCACCCTGTAACCCCCGTACAGCCTGTCATATCTGCCCGCCGGGGTTCTTCTTTGATAAGCGCCCGGACAACACCCCCTCCTGTATCCTAGGTATGTGCTCTTTACCAGTCAACCCGGGTACAGTCCTAGTGTACGTTCACCTGCTGCCCCTTGTTGCCTGCCCGCCGGGCTTCTTTTTCGGCACTCGCCCCGACAACTCCCCCTCATGCATCCTCAGTATGTACCCTTCACTTGATACCCTCTCTAGTATTCTAGGTGTGCACCTCCCTCCAGCGTGCTAGGTGTGCGCCTCCCTCAAGTGTGCTAGGTGTGCACCCCCCCCAGTGTGCTAGGTGAGTTTCCTTCGCCTGGCAACCCTGGTATGGCCCTACTGTGCTATTGTGGTGGTGCTGCCACCTGGTATCGCTCGCTGGTGGCTGCAGCTGCATCTGCCCACCAGGGCTCTGCATCTCTTTTTCACCAAGTTATTGTGCGGATTATGGGGGTTCTGCCTACCACCTGCTATCATCTACCCCTCCGTTCCTCCCTGCTCGTCCCTGTTCTGCCGACGTGCAGGCCCCACCACACCCGATAAGATAAATGTAGTTGCAGGGCTCACATTCAACCTCGTGATGGCGACCTATGGGATCAGCCACCTCCCACTCCCTGCCATATCATCAACCCCCTCCGTTCCTCCCTGCGCCTCCCTGCTCCGCCCTGCTCGTCCCTGTTCCACCCACGTGCAGGCCCCACACTCGATAAGATAAACGGAGGTTGCAGGACTCGCATGCAACCTCGTGATGGCCATCTAGGGAGCATTCATTCACCCCTCATTTCCCTCCCTCACCCACCCCTCCCCTCCGTTCCTCCCCGTCCCTCCCTGTTCCACCCACTTGCAGGCCCCACACCAGACGAGATAAGAGTGTTTCCGGGGCTCACATGCAACCTTGTGATGTCGACCTACGGGATCAGCTTGGCAAATTTCACCCTACTCAATCATGTGAGTGCGTCTTAACCATGCGAGTGCATCTTAACCATGTGAGTGCATCTCAACCATGTGAGTGCATCTCAACCATGTGAGTGCATCGCAACCATGTGAGTGCATCTCAACCATGTGAGTGCATCTCAATCCCAAGCTTTTTGCATACCATATGACAGGCGTCTGATTGCCATAAGATAGGGCAGAAGTTGGCAGTAGGCTGTGCTTTCGAGGCTCGCATTTTGAGGCACCTAAAGAATAGACTCCTTTCGAAGCTCGCATTCGACCTTGTGATGTCAACCTATGGCATCAGCTAGGCCAGTGTAACCTAACTCAACCCAGTGAGTATTGGCTGCTGGTGCTGCTTGCCAGTGCTGGCTTTTTCTCGACTTCCCCTTCCCCTCCCCCCCCCCCCCCCCCCCCAAATCAGGATCTCAACTGCGCCAGGCTGAGGCCTGGCGACGAGATCCACATCGGTGGCACCAACACCAGCACCAGCACCAGCACCAGCACCAGCACCAGCTGCCAACCCCCCTTTCTCCATCCTTTTCACTTTCCCCCTCCCCCGCCGCCAATCAGGATCGCAACCGCGCCCGGCTGCATTCGAGGCGCCTCAAAAATAGATGATTTTTTAGGCACCTGGCTGCATTTGAGGCGCCTCAAAAATAGACCCCTCCCCTGCTGCCAATCAGGATCGCAACCCGCCCGGCTGTAGCCTGGCAATGAGACCCACATCGGTGGCACCAATCCCTGCACTACCCCTCATGGTCCCCCAACCAACCAACCCCTATTCCCCCATCCCCCCCCCCCCCCCCACCCCCCCAACACACCCACCCCCCTTCCCTCCCCCCAAATCAAAAGCTCAGCTGCGCCAGGCTGAGGCTTGGCGATGGCAGCCACATCCGGTGGCACCAACCCCTGCGCCACCCCTCATGGTCCCCCCAACCAACCCTCCTCCCCCATTCCCCCCCCTCGGCTTTTGAGTCGACTCAAAACCGCCACCCCTCATGGTCCCCCCAAACAACCACTCTTCCCCCCCCCATCCCCCCCCCTCCCCGCTTCCCCCTCAGGAGCTCAGCTGCGCCAGGCTGAGGCTAGGCGACGAGATCCACATGGGGGACACCAACCCCTGCGCCACCCTCAATGCTCCCAACCAACCCCCCTTCCCCCATCCTCTCCCCCCCTTCCCCCCCCACCCCCCTTTTCGCCGGGCCCCCAAATCAGGATCTCAACTGCGCCAGGCTAAGGCTAGGCGACGATATCCACATCGGCGATACCAACCCCTGCGCCACCCCCTATACCATCACATATGTGAGCTCCTCTCTCTTGAAGTCTCCAACCCCCTTCACCACCCACCCCCCTCAACCCCATCCCAACCCCCCCTTCACCCCTTCCCTCCCCTTCCCCTCCTTCCCGTCCCGCCACGCGACTGGCCTTTTTCAAATTTCCTGTAGCATTTCTCATAGGATATCCTCTACTCATTCAAATCGATGACTCAATTCATAGCGAGTCATTCCATAACGAGTCATTCCATCCATCCTCACCTTTGCAGTCACATCAGGGAGTCGCTTCCGTCATCCGCTTTCATTTTATCCTTATCAACTCTCCCGTTCGCTCTCTCTCCCAATTCACATGGCCCTAATTCTCCCTGTCTCCCTAATCTCCCCTGTGGCAGAGCGAGACGTGTGCGGCGGTGGCAGCGGACTTTGCTTTTGAGTCGACTCAAAAGCAAGCCCGTATTCTTCCTTTTCTCCCTACACTCTCCCGTGGCAGAGCGAGACGTGTGCGGCGGTGGCAGCAGAGTTCAACATCACAGTGGAGCAGCTCAAGGCGGAGAACCACGAGCTCAAATGCAACAAGCCGCTGCAGATCGGCCAGCAGGTAAGGGCTAGGAGTGGCAGCAGGTAAGGGCTGGGTGTGGCAGCAGGTAAGGGCTGGGTGTGGCAGCAGGTAAGGGTTGGGTGTGGCAGCAGGTAAGGGCTAGGTGTGGCAGCAGGTAAGGGCTAGGTGTGGCAGCAGGTAAGGGCTAGGTGTGGCAGCAGGTAAGGGCTAGCTGTGACAGCAGGTAAAGGTTGGGTGCAGTAGCAGGTGTGGCGTTAGCTCAAGGTCTGGAGCAGCAGATAGGTCAGAGAATTCACGACCTCTTTCCTTCTCCAGAACTGCTTTGTCTGGCCCCCTTTCCCATCCCCATCCCTGAGACACTAACAGGTGTGCATCGAGAGGGGGACAGCAGACTTGCCGATGTGCCAGGAGTATGTGACTGTAGCGGAAGGTGACACGTGCGACACTATAATGAGGTCCGCGCGGCCGCCTCTGACCAGCCAGGAGTTCTATGCTTTGAATCCAGGCATCAACTGCAACGTGGGCGAGCAGACGCTGCTGGGCCAGCAGGTATGTGAACAGTTGTCATCATTATGTAGGTATGTGAACAGTAATCATTAGGTAGGTGTGCAGATGTGGGAGTCATTCAACTTGAACCTTACATGCTTGTGTTACTCCAGTGGTTTAGGGAGTGCTGAATGCTTGCACTCTCCTTGTTCTTTCTTTCCCACCGCACCAGCTGCATACATGGCGTTTATGTTTTTACATATTTATTCCTCATTTTTCACCCTCCAGATTTGTACGCGTGGTGGCCAATCGAGTGTTTTACTTGGTGCTTCAAGATGTGTTACAAAGCAGACGTATACAGTTGTCACTGGCGATACATGTGCGCGCATCCTTGCACTCTATTTCAAGTCTTCAGCACGCCTGCTAGCACAATATAACAGTGGGTATGTTTGCACAAATAGTCGATTGTACAAAGGGACGGTGCTCTGCAAGGCACCCTAAAACTGGGTTTTGTGTTTTGTAATAGTGTATGTGTGCGTTTGTAGCTATCTGGCTACAGTGGGTTGCTCCCATTTTCATGTATTTGTACTTAGTATGCTTGCTTTTGTTTTCAAACGTTGTCTCATTGTTGAGATGTATAATAACCAATTCAACAAGCACAATTCTGCAAGTTGCTTATGTGTGCACCAATAACCCTTTGTACAACGTGTGGCATTGGAATGTTCACATCATCTCACCAACTCTCTCCATTTCAGAAACGACTGCGTGTACACTTAGCCCGCGTTAATTTTACACCCTGACCATTTCTGAGTGCGTAGACAAGTACCCCCTTGTTCCTACGGCCTAAGCTTGGCAGACTCCACGCGGGAAAAAACGTTTAGCACTGCCTAAGCTGACGTCGGGTTTCCTGACTCGAGAAACACTAAATCGAGCAGTAAAGTTTTTTGTGCAGAAACCCAAGTTTAGGGTTGTTTTCAAGGGTATCGGGATCTGGTCTTCAGGAGCGGCTTTCGGGAGGTGAATACCCTCTCAGCGGCACCCCCTGTGAAAATACTGGGTTTGAAAATAACGCGGGCTAAGTGTACAGTGTTATGGCAACCCTTCGTGTAGCCACGGGCCGCCAAAACGATTTCGAATTGCCTCGTAAACGTCGTCGCACTCGTCGTCAGCGAAAAGTGACTTCGCGAACGCTGTTCGCGGACGTCCCTCACTACGCCGCCCGTCGTCCGCTCACTCATCCAAAACGTCAATTGTTATCCTTTTCGTTTGGTTTCCACGTAGCTTACCCATGAATCTTGGAGCCGGGTGCCCAAGGACGTTCTTTTAACGAATAACCACGTGCCACCTACGCCATCTAGGCTTTTGATGCGGCAGCGAGCCTGACAAGGAATTGGAGATATTCTGTGCTATGGTTGGTGGTCCCGCCTTTCTGCGCGGGGAAAAAGCGGCTGTCCAGATATTTCAACTTGCCCACACCATCCAGATTCCAGATTCCAGAGAAATTCACAGCACACCTTTCGTCAGAAATTTCCCTCCGCACTGGAGACAGCCTAGGGATCTCCTGCCTCTTAGAATCTTCAGGGAACCCCATTTCCACTTGCCTCTTCGAGTTTCTAGGGAACTCCGTTCTGCTGCTGCTAATTTTGCTGCTGGAGCTTTTTCGAGCGACGGCAGATTCTGGGTGCAACTTGGCCGGCAGATTCTAAAGCTGGGGCAGCTGTTGCGTTCCTCTGCTCTCTCGTCGTGCTTGAGATTGTTCGGACGAACATAGTGCTCGCTTGTCCATTCCTGGCAATTTTCTCGTGCCACGTCTGACAGATACTGCTGAAATGGCCGGTGAGTTTCCTCTTCCTGTTTCTTGGGAGAAACGGAACAGAGTACTGATTATAGTTACACGAGACGAGGTTCTGCTGGCGAGGAATGATAAACTGTTGAGTCCTAATCAGCCGCGTGCTCCCGCGTCCGTCCTTATTCTCCTCTCCTTATCCTGCAGCGATGTTGGGTTCCACCCTTTGCTGCTGCTCTGGTTGGGTGCTGCACCTGCGTTCGGTTCCCCTCTGTTCTCAGGCGCCTCAAAACCCCTTATGGTTTTGCCTTTGTCCTGCAGCGATGCTGGGTTCCACCCTGTGCTGCAGCAAACAAGCCGTGAGGGTTTTCCCGAGCTTGAAGCCCGCGTTATCTGGAAATTCCGTACAAGCTCTTCCCTCTCGTTACAGTCACAAACCTCGCCAGCTGTCAAGCTGCACCAATCGCAGCCGGCGGCGGGTGGTTCTGGTGGAGGCATCATCCCCCAATCCGTCCCAGATCTCGTTTGGTCAGTCCCGGACGGCCCGGACGGGTCGTCTCCCGGAATCCTTATCCGTCTCCCGGCTGCTTCGTCCCTCAGTCTTCTTGCTCCTTCCCTTCTGGTCTCCCTCGTTTTCCTCGTCTGCTTCTGAATCTGCGGCATGGTTTGCTTGCGTGTGATGCTTTCATCGTGTTGTGGCAGCAACAGCCGTGGAGAGCCAGCCGACCCTCTTCCAGGCGATCGACTTCAAGAAGCTCCAGAACGGAAGGTACGATGGGCGGTCGTGCCAGGAAGGGTGGGGAATGGGAGAGGGGGAGATAGACGAACTCACTCCAGACGATTGACTTGAAGAAGCTTCAGAACGGAAGACGAGACCATTGCGCGCACGGGGAAAGGGAGAACCGGGTGAGGGGAAGACATATCACGGATAGAAACTGGGATTGCAAAATCAAAAAATCAGGAATCAGGAAATCTGGATGGATTACTGGTTAGCCATTGTTCTGTAAAGTGTTTCCCTTGTGTTCTGTACGCAGTGACATAAGGGGAGTGGCTATAGTGGGAGTGGAAGGCGAGCCTGTGACACTAACGGAGCCTGCAGCGGAGGCAATTGGCACGGCCTTTGCTCGGTTCCTGCGGGGAAAGAAGGAGCAGGCAGGGGAGGCGGGTGACCGGCAGCTGAGCGTTTCCATTGGCCATGACTCGAGGGTGTCGGCTGATGTAATCACGGTCAGTGCAATGGCCGGTGCAAGTGGGGTACATTCGATTCGAGAGAGTTGGAAAGAAGCAACAGGGAAGGGAGGTGGCTGATGGGCAGCTTGACGTGTGTGTGGAGCATGACTCGAGGGTGTCGGCTGATGGTCAGCGGAGCGTGTCTGTTGGGCATGGCTCGAGTGCATTTGATTTTTGAGGCGCCTCAAAAAATCGTCTCAAAATTTGAGGCGCCTAAACAAATTTCGTGTCTGTTGGGCATGGCTCGAGGGCATTTGAGGCGCCTCAGAAGGGCGTCGGCTGATGTATTCCCTGCATGTACATGACTGCAGGGACCATTGTGCAATCACTGATGCATGCAGGGGCAGTAGCCAATGCTAGTTGGGTACATTCAAGCGTGTTTCGTTCCGGCGCTGCTTGCTTTGTCTTCTGCCCCTGCAGGCAACAGTGGCCTGGGGACTGGCAGGGGACGGAGGGGAAGTGGTTCTGGCATTTCAACGCATGGGTCCTACTTTTCTTTTGTGCTCTATTCACCTGCAGGCAGCAGTGGCGCGTGGGTTAGCAGGCGAGGGCGTGAAAGTTGACTTTTGAGTCGACTCATAAGTCACCTGTTGTGCTCTATTCACCTGCAGGCAGCAGTGGCGCGTGGGTTAGCAGGCGAGGGCGTGAAGGTGGTTCGGTTCGGTCTGGCGTCCACACCGGCCATGTTCAGCAGCACAGTCACCCAGGATGAGAGCCTGCACTGCCCCAATGACGGTGGCATCATGATCACAGGTGCGTTCAAGGCGCAAACCGACAGAGAGGAATGGGCTGGCGTCCACACCGGCTGTGTTCAGCAGCACAGTTATGCAGGATGAGACCCTGCACTGCCCCAATGACGGTGGCATCACGATCACAGGTGCGCTGGCATGGCATAGATGAGGAAGGTTTTGGGTTCGGGCTGGCGTCCGCACCGGCCATGTTCCGCAGCACTGTGAAGGAGGATGATAGCCTCCACCGCCCCACTGGCGGCGGCATCATGATCATATGTGGGTTAAAGGCGGGGTGGGGTTGGTAGAAATACGGATGGGATAGCACAGCACGGACTGACGTCCACCCAGGCCATGTTCAGCAGCACAGTCACAGAAGACCCTGAGCTGCACTGCGCCAACGGCAGCGACATCATGACCACAGGTGTGTAGTGAGAAGAGATCGCATGCGGTGCAAGGAGTTGGGATGAGCTGAGTTCAAGCCACGGCGGCCACGTTCACCAGCACCGTTACAGAAGACGCTGGTCTGCACTGCCCTGCCCCACTGATGGCGGCATCATGATCACAGGTGCTGCTGATGGGGTGGGGCGGGATGGGATGGGACAGCGCTCTCCCCCTCTTCATGTGTCCCTGCCTCTCCCTGTTCTCTTCATAAACAGCCAGCCATTTCCCCTTTCGCTTCATACTTTTGAGGCGCCTCAAAACTAGACTTTCGCGTCATAGGGCGCCCTGTGAAACATACTCTACTTGCACTCCTTTCCCTATTCCCCTTCCTACTCTGTGAACCCATCCGCAGCCAGCTATCTCCCCTTCAACTGCAACGGACTCAAGTTCTTCACTGCAAAGGCCGAAAATCAATGAGAAGTCTTGAACAGCCTACTTGCACCCGTTTCCCTTCTCTCTTTCCCTGCCCTCTCAATGCACAGCCAGCCACCTCCCCTTCAACCGCAACGGGCTCAAGTTTTTCACCGCAAAGGGCGGCGCCAACAAGGCAGATATTGCCACTATCCCCCCCCTCACATTCCCCTTTCTCTCCGCTTTTTTGCTTCGTTCTGCATCCCCCAACATTCTCAACTCACAGCCAGCCACCTCCCTTTCAACCGTAATGGGCTCAAGTTCTTCACCGCAAAGGGCGGCGCCAACAAGGCGGATATCGCCACTATCCTGGCTTCCGCCGCCCAGATCTACGCGTCCATGTCAGCAGAATCCGTGCGTGCCAATCAGGAGAAGGCGGAGAAGCAGACAGTGCTTGTGGATTATATGAAGAGATATGCGGCGGATCTGGTCGATGCCGTGCGGAAGGCTGCTAAAGCTGGAGGTACGGGGATGCCTTTTTAATCATGGCTTTAACAGGCTCAGGTCACAAGCAGAACGTCCACGTGAATTGTATGAAGGGATTTGCTGCAGATCTGGCTGCGCTGCTATGGAAGCAGCCAAGGCTGGAGGTATGAGAGATTTGGCAGTAGCAGGCTTGCATTAGAAGCAGGCAGTGCTCGTGGATTACATTAAGAGATATGCGGCGGATCTGGTTGACGCTGTGCGGAAGGCAGCCAAGACTGGAGGTACGGTGGAGCTAAACTCACAGACTCACATCACAAGCACTCAGTGCACGTGGATTATATAAAGCGATATGCTGCAGATCGGGTCGACGCTGTGAGGGAAGCAGCGACGGCTGGAGGTGTGTGGAAAAACGCAGAGCACTGCTGGGATTGATTTCTTAGTTGCATGACTGGCTCGTGTCACGTATTGCGCTTGCCCCATGGTCTCTTGCACACAGTGCGTATCTGTCGCTCTCTCTCTCGGGTGCCGCTGTTTGTGTGTGTTACAGATCGTCCGTTGGAGGGTTACCACATCGTTGTGGACGCTGGTAACGGAGCAGGGGGCTTCTTCGCTGTGAGTCTTGGTTCTCTCTCCCCATTCCCCGTCACCTGTCACGCCCATCTCTCATCTGGTTCAGCTCAAATGTCAAATCTCCGTTAGGGTTACCGCATTGTTGTGGATGCTGGTGACGGGGCAGGGGGCTTCTTCGCTGTGAGTTCTCTCTTTCCCCACACTCCGTCACCCATGCGTGAGGAGTCTATTTTTGAGGCGCCTCAAAAGTAGATTCTTTCCCCACACTCCGTCACCCTCTCACATTTCTCACATTCACACTCTCACAGAATTCTCTCCTTCGTTCCACACTCTCGGTTACCCTCACACGGTTTTGATTCTCTCTCTCCCCACCGTCTGTCACCCTTACACTGTTTTGAGCATGTGGAGCCATGTCGCATGATTTTCGCGCAACTAGACACCCAGAAAAGCATTGTAACCTCCCGACTACGTGTGGTCTTTTCAGGGCGGAGTGCTGGAGCCTTTGGGAGCCAACACTGCTGGCAGCCAGTTCCTTGAACCAGACGGTATGACATATGTGCAGTGCAGCATGGTGGCATGTGATGTGATGTGATGTGATGTGATGTGATGGGATGTGATGGTATCAGTTGTGTTTTGAGTCGACTCAAAACACACCCGGTGCAGCATGGTGGCATGTGATGGGATGTGATGGTATCAGGGCGTAATGGCACGATGAAAGGGAAGTGTCGGAGACCCTCGGAGCCAACACTGCTGGCAGCCAGCTCTCTGTAGTAGGTCGGAGGGAAAAGGCGAATTGTGGAGGAATCACATTTGGCTCACGTTCTCTTCGATGCTGTAGAAACCCGCTCGATCAAGTCTTGTTAACCTCTACTTCCAATCCCTTGTCTCCCCTCATCCCGGGCCCCTCCCCTGTTTCCATGCCTGTTCTCAAACCACATTCCGAACCTGGAGGTCAAGGCAGGCATGGAGGGGGGGATAGCATGGGCAGTGCTGAGGGTGGAAAGACGGACCGTGGGATCATCCTTGTCCCCCTGTCCCGTTTGCCTCTACGGCCCATGTCTTCCCAACCCATCCCTCAGGCCTGTTCCCGAACCACATTCCGAACCCGGAGGACAAGGCAGCCATGGAGGCGATCACAGCAGCGGTCCTGAGAGAGAAGGCGGACCTTGGGATCATCCTTGTCCCCCTGTCCCGTTTGCCTCTACGGCCCATGTCTTCCCAACCCATCCCTCAGGCCTGTTCCCGAACCACATTCCGAACCCGGAGGACAAGGCAGCCATGGAGGCGATCACAGCAGCGGTCCTGAGAGAGAAGGCGGACCTTGGGATCATCCTTGTCCCCCTGTCCCGTTTGCCTCTACGGCCCATGTCTTCCCAACCCATCCCTCAGGCCTGTTCCCGAACCACATTCCGAACCCGGAGGACAAGGCAGCCATGGAGGCGATCACAGCAGCGGTCCTGAGAGAGAAGGCGGACCTTGGGATCATCCTTGTCCCCCTGTCCCGTTTGCCTCTACGGCCCATGTCTTCCCAACCCATCCCTCAGGCCTGTTCCCGAACCACATTCCGAACCCGGAGGACAAGGCAGCCATGGAGGCGATCACAGCAGCGGTCCTGAGAGAGAAGGCGGACCTTGGGATCATCTTTGACACTGACGTGGACAGGGCAGCCGCCGTTGATTCGTCCGGCAAGGAGATCAATCGCAACCGTCTGATCGCGCTCATCGCAGCCATAGTGCTTGAGGAGGCAAGACAAGCTTTGTAGCCTTGTTGTCTAATGTGTGCACTTTCATTAGACAGCTCCCACGCACCACTATATGATATAGTCACGGACAGTGTCTCATCCGATGGCCTTTCTCCTCACACCCCCCCCCCCCCTCCTCTCCCTCCTTCCCCAGCAGCCGGTGGCACTATAGTCACCGACAGTGTGACATCTGATAGCTCACTCCCTTTCTCCCTTCTCCCCACCTTTTCCCCTTGCCTTCCTTCCCACCCTTTTCCAGCACCCAGGCACCACTATAGTCACCGACAGTGTCACATCCGATGGGCTGACCACATTCATTGAATCTAAGCTCGGTGAGTGAAAACAATCCAGTCAACTTCAGTGGAAACAGTCCAATCAACACATTGACCTATGCTCCTCTGTGTGGTCCAGCCCACGGCTCGCACCTCCACACAGACTATGTTACAAATTTTTTTAGTTTTTTTTTCATCATTACCACTTGTATACACCTCACAACTCCTCCTCCTCTGCTCATGCCTGTTTTCCCTGTCCAAGCTCCGCCTGCACAAATTTCGTTGCCTGATATCACCTCCCATTCTCTGCACCGCTTTATCTTGCTGCTGCCCACCTCCCCTTGCTGCCTGCCTCCCTTCCCTAACTCTGCATGTCATCCCATCACTGCATGTCCTCACCTATGTGTCCCAACGCCACCAGGAGGCAAGCACCTTCGGTTCAAGCGGGGCTACAAGAACGTCATTGACGAGGGCGTCAGGCTGGTGAGGCCCATGCAGTGTGAATGAAGGCGTGTAATAGCACAGCGCATCATGTCATCCCACGCCATGCCTTGCATGCATTACCATGCTGCTATCCATTCAAGCGAGGCTGCAAGAACGTCATTGACGAGGGCTGCTATCCATTCGTTTTGTGTGTTCCCTACACTTTCTCCTTCGTTTTGTGTGTTCCCTACACTTTCTCCTTCGTTTTGTGTGTATCCTACTCTTTCTCCTCCGTTCTGTGTGTTCCCTAATCTTTCTCCGTTTTGTGTGCTCCCAGAATTCGGTGGGTGAGGAGTGCCATCTGGCAATGGAGACGAGCGGGCATGGAGCTCTCAAGGAGAACAGATGGCTTGATGATGGCGCCTACCTCATGGTGGGTTGTTATTGCGTGGCGTGTATGCCTATACATAACATTGGTGACGGCATGCTCATGGTGCACATGTGATGATGGCGCATACCTCATGGTGGGTTGTTATTGCGTGGCATGCATGAATGTCTTAGCCCTTGCTCCTTACCTTTCCCCTGCCAGGTGAAGCTGCTGGTGAAGCTGGTGCCAGCAGCAGCCGAGGGAGAGGCCACGGGAAGTGCTGTACTAACCCGCTTGATGGAGGACCTGCAGGAGGCGGATGAGGGACACTCAGCCAAATGCACTCTTTTCCTTGCTCCTCTCCCCCCTGCTCTGTCCGTCTCCCTGCAGGTGAAGCTGCTGGTCAAATTGGCATCCGCAGCAGCCAAGGGAGAGGCGAAGGGCAGCGCCGTGCTGACGCGCATGATAGAGGACCTGCAGGAGGCGGATGAGGCCACGGAGGTTCGGCTCCGGATCAACCAGGACCATGCTGACGTGGCACCCATGTGAGTCACAGGAAAGGCACCATCTTTAGGCGTTTAGGTGTTTGGGTGTGTCAGTGCTGCCATGCTGCCGTGTTACTGTGCTGGCCTTACTTCCCTATCCCCACCCACCTCCTCCTCCTGCACAATAAACCGCTTAACCCCTGCACCAGAGGGTTCCGTGCATATGGGGGGAAGGTTCTGGAGGTGTTCACAGCCACAGTGGAAGGCGACTCTGCCCTCTCCAAGGCTGCTGTCAGTTACAGCGCCGTCAAATGCCCTATACCCCACTGCCATGCCCCCTTAATCCCTTTACCAGAGGGTTCCGTGCATATGGGGAGAAGGTTCTAGAGGCGCTCACTGCCACGGTGGAGGGTGATGCTGCGCTGTCCAAGGCTCCGGTCAACTACGAGGGGGTGAGTGGTGGTGTTGAGCGTGAGGGGGTGCGTGGTGGTAGTGAGTTTGAGGGGTTGACTGGTGATTGCGAGCTGGTGCGAGGTACTGGCAGTTTTGGGGCATCTGGTCGTTTACATTGCCTGCAAGAGCAACCTCTGGACCTCACAGCCACAGTGGAGGGCGACTCAGCACTCTCCAAGGCTGCTGTCAACTACGAGGGGGTGAGAGCCCTGTCTCGGTCTGTTTCGATTCCTTTCCCTTTGTTTAAGCATATCATAGCAAAAGCAATCTAAGAAGCTCGTCTCAGACTGGCGTCTCATGTCGCGTCGCTCCTGCTCTCCACCACGCACTGTTTATAATTCTCTAAAATTACCTGCATTCCGGTGAAACGGTTTCGTAGGAAGATTGGAAACGGCAGCATTGGTTTCCCGCTTTTTTGCCTGTCCTTTATTTTTCTCTGTTCCTCATGCTATGTAGTGTCCATGCACCAATTGCTCTCACCAATCTTCTTGCCTTTGTTGAAAAATTGCTCTGTTGTCCCCACTACTTGCACTTGTCACCCCTGCCCCCTCCTCTGTCACATGCTTCTCCTGTCACACACTGTGCTTGGCCGGCATCGTTTGTCTCAGGTGCGGGTGTCTGGGTTCGGTGGATGGTTCCTCCTGCGCCTGTCTCTCCACGACCCTGTCTTGCCACTCAATATCGAGGTATGCGCAGTAGACATGGCAGCCGCGCTTATCTGAGCAAGTTCCTCCTGCGCCTGTCTCTCCATGCCTCCGTATTGCCACTGAATATCCCCGTAATCCTGTATTTTCAATGCAAACTGTCGTTTGTTTGTCTTCACTCACAATAGGAACACTATCATCGAAGAAGTGAATTGTCCTTGCACCCATTATAATGCACTGGGTGACCTTACGCCCTCCCAATTCAAACTCCACAGGGTCCTTCCAAGGCGGCCACTAGGAGGCTGGCAGAGGCTGTCGTGTCCGTGACCTCACAATTCCCGGCTCTGGAGATATCTGCCCTTCAGAAGTACATCGACGCCTGCAACCAGAATTGAAAATGAGACGTGTGAGGTCCAGATGAGTTATTTTGGGGCAGATTTTGAATCTTCTGGACGGCATGTGCTGCGGCTGCAGCATGGAGCTGGAGTAGTGGTGGTTATAGTATTAGAGTGTTCACAAGTTATGTGTAAAAGTAGGAGCTAGCAACACAGTTTCTATCGCGCATGTTTTCTTCAGTTGTCCCGTATGAACGCACTAAGCACGAAACGTCGGGTCTACCGTTGGCGCGAATTTCCGATTCGTGGCTGTCAAACATCCCATGAAGTCCGGAGGTCTCGCCCCGTTATTGTGACATGCGCAGATGTGCTTGCGTGGCTCCTGCCGCGAAACTGTGGTAACCCGTAAGGGAATCTCCGGGACAACGACGAAGGTCGCCTGAAGTGACGAAGATTTTCGTGTAAAATCAGACCAATCAGATGACTAAACCAGCGCGTTAACCGTCGTAGAACCTTGAAGTTGTCGGATGATCGGATCACGCCACTCCGCCCGGCCCAAAGTACTGAGTGGTCTACAATAGCAGCCATTGTAGACTTGGATGTCAAATTGTACTTAGCGGCTGGTCAGTGGCCATTCACGAACTAGCTCATTTTTGCGAAGCCTGGTCATTAGTGTGCTCGTGAAGGCTCGCACGCGAGAGACGCTATCGACTCTAGCGAAAGACAGTGGGACCTGATCGCACACTCGCAGAAGCCGTTCAGGAGCAAATCATTTGTGTGTACTCGCCGTCAGATGTCGCGAGTATGTCATTCGATCGGCACTTAAGGAGGGTTTCGATCGGCCGGTGACTGAGTTAATCTGCACATCGAAGCTTCGTGGTCGCTGCTGTTGATGCAGATTGAGCTGACCAGCGAGCTGTTGATGCTGATCTGGCCGATGATGACAGCTTTCAAGGTTCTGACATCACCCGTCGACACCACCAGGCTACTCCGACTGATCCGCGGTAGCAGCATCTGCAGTAGTAGCACCTGCAACCCTCCGCAGTGCACCTGCACGTTATCCGCAACAATCGTCCACTGTAGCAGGCAATGCACGGCACATTGCAGTGAATCAGCTTATAACGGAGAGCCGCACCGACCAGCGACCTCCGTAGCAGCCGAATCTCTTCGTTATATTCCCGCCCGGAATTCGTTACCGTCAATCCCGCGAAGCCCAGGTGTACCACCGCACAGAAAGTCAAATCGTAACATTAGCTGCCGAGCTACTTCTGTATTTAAATGGTGGGGGAGGGGGAGTCAGGGCAGCAGCAGCGGCGCAAGCGAAACTGGCGGTAATGAAACAGGCGCAGGCGGAGGGGGCGAACCGCTGGATCCGGGCGGAAGCGGGACTGGGGGCGGAAGGGGAAGCTCAGGCGGAGGAGGGGGTGGCGGAGGAGGCGGAGGCGGAGGCGGAGGGGGAAGGGGAAGCGGGCGGGGACGAGGGAGTGGGGACGAGGGTTCAGGGTTTGGGGGTGAAGGAGATTCGGGCAACTTCCCAGCATCTTCCTTGCCTCGCCTGAGCCCCTTAAACCTCCTCCTGGAGGTTCAGCGGCGCGTGAACGGTTACTTTGCCGCCCGGCCGCTGCGCCGTGCCATGTTTGGAGGCATCGCATTGTTTGGCGGTTTCTACGTGGCTCAAACGATCTCCCTCTCCTTCGGCGCTCTGAGCGTGAATGACGTGGCGGCGGCGGCGCTGTGCCTTGTATTCACGGAGGTGGTAACCAGATCGTACTACTCGACGTTACGGCCATCGTTTCCGCTCGCCCTGCTGAACGTGTTCAAAATGGGGTTCACTTACGGGCTATTCATCGACGCTTTCAAGCTCGCCAGCTGATCAGCCCATGGCTGCGATTCATTCCTCGCATTGGCGCTTCGCTTTCAGAAGGGGTTTCACTTCGCATTGCCTCCTCATCGATGCTTGCAAGTCAGCCAGCTTACTGTTGCTGCTGGAGATGATATGGAACATGCCTACAGGAGACAGGGTGGGGATAAGGTGGAGATAAGGTGAAGATAAGGGTGGTAGAGGCATGCTGCTGACTGAGCTGCTAGATGGTTACTATGCTGAAATGGAACAGGGCGCACCAAGCTGAGGGGACTTAAGAGTCGACTCAGGAGGCATCTCGATATGCCACCAACTGAGCAGTGAGATGGATGCCGGTAGGTACGATTTTTTAGGCGCCTCAAAACTAGATGCCGGTAGGCACTATGCTGAGCTGTGACACGGCGAACCAAGCTGAACGATAGAGGGCAGTGGAGAAGGGCGGACCCTCGAGAGCTGGAGGCTCACTGGGATTTGTGGCACGATGTCAGGCAGCACGGTTCAGGTGGTGCCACACCCAGGAGGCTGAATTGCTGATCCTTCGTCTAGGGATGGCACCTGAACCTCGTATTCTAGGGATTTGTGCCTATTCTGTGCCAAAAAACGCATCACCACTCACCAGTAACCAGGTGCTGACATCCTCTCTGACGCTGTGCAAGGCATGATTTCCTTGCTTTCGGGCAGAGTGGGAGGGACTTGTTTGCCAAGCAGGGCTGGCTGACAGGTCCACACGTGTCATGATTTAAAAATAGTGCCTTTCATACTTATGAGTTCTTGCCTCCCACGGGTGTATGCCGCCGAGTATCGTCTGGAACTGGTAACTGAGGCCTGTTGTAACTGCAAACCACATGCAGCACGACCAAGCAATGTCACGTGATGCAAAGCCCAATACCGTAGGACAATGGGCATGCGAGATACTAGTAGTATGTATGGTACTAAGATTTTTTAGGCGCCTCAATCAAATACTGTAGAACAAAGGAAATGTGAGATATTAGGTACGGTACTACCATAGGAGGAAGCCACACGTTTGCAGAAACCGCGTATGGCGGTGCACTTGAAGATGTCCCCCCTTCCCCCCCCCTTCCCTCCCCACAGCTTCCCCAACACCCGAAGCTGTTCCAAAAGCAACTGGAAGCTTTTCCTGCCATGTTGCTGTTGTTTCTTCTACATGATTTATCACACACCCTTCCCATACTGCTGCTGCTGCTGCTGCTGCTGCTTCGGGGCTACCTCAACACCAGACCATCAGACCAAGCCTGGAGCTGAACCCAATCTTCTGCCCTGCCCCTACTCTGGCAGCCCAACCCTCGTAGCCCTGCTGTGGGCCCACCCAAGCGCCCCTTGCAATCCCAGTTGGACCAGCCCTCTCACTGAACCCCAAACTGCCGCCGCTGCTGCTGCTGCTGTTGCTGCTGCTGTTGCTGCTGCTTTGAGGCTGCTTCAAAGCCAAACCCTCAAAACCAAACCCGACGAGGCAGGGCCAATGGTCTACTGCCTTGCCCCCACTCTGGCAGGGCGGGGACCAAGGCCCAGGCCCCCTAGCCCCGTGGGCCCAGCCAAGCCCCTCTGCCCCCTCCCAGCCTCTCCCGCCCTCTCACTCAACCCCACACTGCCGCCACCACCACCAGCACCAGAGGCAGCGCCGCCCGTTGGCCCCGTGCTGCCGAAAATAGACGAGCTTTCAGCAGAAATGAATACAGGCGACTTGGCAGCCCCTCCTATACCACCACCAGCAGCAGCGGCAGCGGCAGCAGCAGCAGAAGGAGCAGCGCCAAGCCCCCCCATTCCTGCTGCTGCTCTGCTGCTGATATCCTTGTTGGTGCTGAGTAGATGAGCTAGCTCGCTTACGGCGCTGCTGCTGGTGCTGGTGCTGGTTGCGTTGATGGGCATGCCGGTGTGTTGGTGTGCCCGCCCTTGTGCTGCTACGACGCTAAGCAGGGACGAGAGCGACGAGTTGCCGTGCGAGTGGGAGTGAGAGTGAGAGTGAGAGTGAGGGTGTGAGTGTGAGTGAGAATGCGGGCGATCACCACCACCATCACCTCCCAGTCCTCCTCCTTCACACTCCTTTCCTCCACCCCCTCCTCCTCCTCCTCCCCCTCCCGGCCCATGGTTACGAGCACAGCACCTGCCCCCTCTCTCCCCCTGCCGCCCGCCCCCAAAAATCCGCCGGAAAAACGCGCTTGACGGGCCGGGAGGGGGGGGAGGCTTCCAAGCAGTTTCGCTGTCGGTGGTTTCCCCTGTGGTCCAGAAGTCAAGGCAGTTGCCGTAGCAGCCGCGGTCGAAGGGGTTGAAGTACTTGTTGTCGGGGCCACGCAAATAGGCATAACGGTGGGCATTTGCCATTTCGTTGGTCGTTATGTTCTGAGCCACCTGGTTATTTCATGAAGGGGAGATGCACGAAGGGGGGAAAAGCACAGATCATAAGAGTCGTGAAGGCAACGGAAGTGCACAGTGGCAGCAACCGCGGTCAAGGGGGTTGAAAGACTTGTTGTCGGGGCCTCGAAGATAGGTGTAACGGTGGGCGTTTGCCATTTCGTTGGTCATTATGTTCTGAGCCACCTGTTCAGAGGAACCAAGAGGGGGAAAGGGGGGGAAGGGAAAGGGAGGGGGAGGGGGAGACGACGAGAAGAGGGAAACCAATGCAGTTGCCATAGCAGCCGCGGTCGAAGGGGTTGAAGTACTTGTTGTCGCGGTCGAAGGTGTAGCGATGGGCGTTCGCCATTTCGTTGGTCGTTGTGTTCCGAGCCACCTGTTGATCAGAGGTAGAAGGAGGGGGGAGCACGGACCCTGACCATAAGAGTCTTGAAGGCACCGGGAGAACACACACAGGTAGGCGTAGCGACGGGCGTTTGCCATCTCGTTGCGAGGCCACACCACGAGTCCCAGCTCCGAGTTCCTTTGGGGGGGGGGGGGTTGAGCCCAGCACGGAGCGCAGCATCAAACCATCCGCGATCATGAAGACCAGCATCAACCTGTGGTGCGGCATGCCTGCCTGTGCTTTAGCCATAGAACACTCACCTGAGAGCCTTGCAAGACTCACCTGGGAGCCCTGTGACACCACAAGTCCCAGCACCGACAGCAGCATGAACCCATCCGTGATATAAACACCAGCGCCCCCGTGTGGTGCGTCGCCACGTATGCTAGCCACCCTGTACTTCCTCACCAGCCGAAGCACTTAGCAACACTCACCTGAGAGCCCTGTGACACCACGAGTCCCAGCACGGACAGCAGCATAAACCCATCCGCGATAATGAACACCAACGCCCCTGTGTGGTGTGTAAGTGCGTGTGTTGCAAGATACACCCTGCTCTTGCACTCTCACCTGAGATCCCTGGGACACTACGAGTCCCAGCACGGACAGCAGCATAAACCCATCCGCGATAATAAACACCAACGCCCCTGTGTGGTGTGTCGCTACATATGCTAGCCATCCCGCTCCTGCTGCTGGCGCTCCCTCCAGATTCAGAAGGCCTGGCGAGGGTGGGGGGGTGGGGGGGAAACGGGAGAGGAAGAGATGGGACAAACACGTCAGTTCCAAGGTGGTACGTTGCTACATACGACTCAGAAGAGGAGTGATGGGGAAGACAGATACGAATATGGGGAAAACAAAGATGGAGAAAACAAAGATGGAGAAAACAAAGATGGAGAAATAAGGATTCAACAGATGAAGAACGGAAAACGAGAGCGAACCGTAATTGCGGCAGCTACTGAAACAGCAGAATAGGGAAGCGGGGTGAGCGGGGGGGTCACTTACGGGAGAAAGCAAGCGAGAGGGCAATGAGCATTGCGGCCATTTCAAGCACGAGCATCATGAGGAAGTGCCACTTGTTGCGCTGCCATGCATGCAACAGAACACAGTATGCGTCGGAGGCGTGCAGAGAGAGAGAGAGAGAGATTGGGAGAAGATGAGAGGGCAATGAGCATGGGGGCCATTTCAAGGACGAGCATCATGAGCAAGTGCCACTTGTTGTGCTGCCATGCAATCAAAACATGTGGAACAGAGAATAGAGAAGGGGAAGGCGGAAGGCAGAAGAGGAGAGGGCACAACAAAGACGAGAGCCATTTCAAGGACGAGCATTACGAGCACGTGCCACTTGTTGCGCTCCCATGCAATAGACCACGGGAATGCGGATACGGGGGGAGGAAAACGAGAGGACGGAAGGAAGGAGAAAGGCAGTTCAAGCGCCAGCATCATGAGCTGTAGGTCTTCTTCGAGGTTTATTAGAAGAAGAGAAAAATGACAGGAAAACCTTTAAGCACCAACATCACGAACAAGGGCCACTGTGTTGCGCGCGCAGCCATCACAACGAGGGGAGAAGTGGAGCGTATGGAGTGCGTGGAAGAAGAAATGGGCGCGTGGGGGGAAACACGGAAGGAATATTGTCGTTTAAACCAGCAGCATCATCCAGATGAAAGGTAGTTATTAAAAATAAAAAATCTAAAAACTACCCTTTCTGCTAGGGGCAATCGTGGTCGAACAATAGGGTATATGCTCTTGAGATCACCCTACCTTGCCAACGCAGTTGGAGATCCAAGGGCAGTGGTGGTCGAACTGCTTCACACACTTGTTGCAGATAGAGCAGTGCTTTGACCTCCTGGGCCGCACTATCTGGTGATTGGGGCAGGAGGAGAGTGAAAGAGGCGCAAGAGGGGGGAGGGGGAAGGGACGGAGTGGGGGTGGGAGGGTGGGGGGGGAAAGGGAGGACACGCAAATTGGTTCACACACTTGTTGAAGATGGAGCAGTGCTTTGGCCACCACAGGCGAACTATTTGATGATGGGAAGATTGGACGCAGTCTGCAATTAATGATCAGGATCACAGGTAATTCAATCTGCAACAAGTGTTCAAGACCACATGATTACGAAGCATTCAATCGGCAATAGGATTGAATCACATGTGCTCTTGAACACTCATTGCAGGTTGAGTGACCTGTGCACTTGAACACTTATTGCAGATCGAATGACCTAAGGTCTTGAGCACTTAAAACCCACGGCCCAAATCGCGAGGCGCGGCCTTCAAACACAGTGCGTTTGAAAGTTGTGTTTCCGTGGGTGTATTGTGGGGTAACGAGACTCTCGTCACTCAGGGGTGCTTTTCAAGTTCACTGCGGAAGGTAATTTGGAACACCAGGTGCTGAGCGTTTTTCAACCGTCCAGTTTTTCCAGTTTTTCATCTGACGGCGCGTAAGCCAAGCACTTCCCCCAGTCAGTCGAAAGGTAATCTCATCCGTCAAACTGTGCGTTTGTAAATCTGACGGTTCACGACAAGCGTTGAATTTGCGAGAGTAAACGCCCTCGCGATATTCCAGCGTATTTCGTACAGCCTGAGGGTCAAAGTTCATACGCAGTGCGCTTGAACAATTTGGGCCGCGGGTTTTAAGTGCAGGGGGAAGAGGGGGGCTGGACCATCAACCTCTTGCCAGTAAAAACAAACTATAAATCATGGGAGGGAAGAACTACGGGGCTTACAAGTCATGGGAATAAAAAAGCCTGTAAGTGAGTGTGTGGGGGGGCCGGGGGGGGGGGGGGGGTGTGTGGTGAGGAGGGGGGGGGCACGTACCCGGCAGGTGACACAGAGTTGCGACCATTGCCCCGACTGCAGCACGGGATCCATGTAATCTGTTCGCAGAGGAACCATTTCCTGCGGGGGAGGGGGGGGAAGAGATGAGGGAAGGTGAGCAAGACAGACCGGGGCGCAACAGGAAGGCTGCAGGAAGGCTCCCGTGCTCCCGTGCTGCAGCCTTCCTGTTGCTCACCAGGAGGGGGGGGAAGAGATGAGGGAAGGTGCGCAACACAGACCGGTCTGTGTTGTGCAACAGGAAGGCTGCAGCACGGGATCCATGTGGCTAGCTCGCAGAGGGGTCAATTCCTGGGATGAAGGAAGGGGGGAGGCAAGGGTTGGAGGACCTCAGAAAGCGCTTGTTCACAGTCAGACCACGCGGCGGCAGCACGGCAAGAACCATGCAGCACGCCAGCAGAGGGACCACTTTTGAGTTGACTCAAAAGAAGAACCATGTAGTACGCCCGCAGAGGCCCAGAAGGACCATCTCCTGGGGTGAAGTGGCCGAGGGGGGGGGGGGGGTAGGTGGGGTTTGCAGGGGGGAAGGTAGAAAAGACTGAGAGGACAGCACGAGAGGGGTGCAACAGGAAAGATGCAGCACGAGAGGGGTGCAACAGGAAAGATGCAGCACGAGAGGGGTGCAACAGGAAAGATGCAGCACGAGAGGGGTGCAACAGGAAAGCTGCAGCACGAGAGGGGTGCAACAGGAAAGCTGCAGCACGAGAGGGGTGCAACAGGAAAGCTGCAGCACGAGAGGGGTGCAACAGGAAAGCTGCAGCACGAGAGGGGTGCAACAGGAAAGCTGCAGCACGAGAGGGGTGCAACAGGAAAGCTGCAGCACGAGAGGGGTGCAACAGGAAAGCTGCAGCACGAGAGGGGTGCAACAGGAAAGCTGCAGCACGAGAGGGGTGCAACAGGAAAGCTGCAGCACGAGAGGGGTGCAACAGGAAAGCTGCAGCACGAGAGGGGTGCAACAGGAAAGATGCAGCACGAGAGGGGTGCAACAGGAAAGATGCAGCACGAGAGGGGTGCAACAGGAAAGCTGCAGCACGAGAGGGGTGCAACAGGAAAGCTGCAGCACGAGAGGGGTGCAACAGGAAAGCTGCAGCACGAGAGGGGTGCAACAGGAAAGCTGCAGCACGAGAGGGGTGCAACAGGAAAGCTGCAGCACGAGAGGGGTGCAACAGGAAAGCTGCAGCACGAGAGGGGTGCAACAGGAAAGCTGCAGCACGAGAGGGGTGCAACAGGAAAGCTGCAGCACGAGAGGGGTGCAACAGGAAAGCTGCAGCACGAGAGGGGTGCAACAGGAAAGCTGCAGCACGAGAGGGGTGCAACAGGAAAGCTGCAGCACGAGAGGGGTGCAACAGGAAAGCTGCAGCACGAGAGGGGTGCAACAGGAAAGCTGCAGCACGAGAGGGGTGCAACAGGAAAGCTGCAGCACGAGAGGGGTGCAACAGGAAAGCTGCAGCACGAGAGGGGTGCAACAGGAAAGCTGCAGCACGAGAGGGGTGCAACAGGAAAGATGCAGCACGAGAGGGGTGCAACAGGAAAGATGCAGCACGAGAGGGGTGCAACAGGAAAGCTGCAGCACGAGAGGGGTGCAACAGGAAAGCTGCAGCACGAGAGGGGTGCAACAGGAAAGCTGCAGCACGAGAGGGGTGCAACAGGAAAGCTGCAGCACGAGAGGGGTGCAACAGGAAAGCTGCAGCACGAGAGGGGTGCAACAGGAAAGCTGCAGCACGAGAGGGGTGCAACAGGAAAGCTGCAGCACGAGAGGGGTGCAACAGGAAAGCTGCAGCACGAGAGGGGTGCAACAGGAAAGCTGCAGCACGAGAGGGGTGCAACAGGAAAGCTGCAGCACGAGAGGGGTGCAACAGGAAAGCTGCAGCACGAGAGGGGTGCAACAGGAAAGCTGCAGCACGAGAGGGGTGCAACAGGAAAGCTGCAGCACGAGAGGGGTGCAACAGGAAAGCTGCAGCACGAGAGGGGTGCAACAGGAAAGCTGCAGCACGAGAGGGGTGCAACAGGAAAGCTGCAGCACGAGAGGGGTGCAACAGGAAAGCTGCAGCACGAGAGGGGTGCAACAGGAAAGCTGCAGCACGAGAGGGGTGCAACAGGAAAGCTGCAGCACGAGAGGGGTGCAACAGGAAAGCTGCAGCACGAGAGGGGTGCAACAGGAAAGCTGCAGCACGAGAGGGGTGCAACAGGAAAGCTGCAGCACGAGAGGGGTGCAACAGGAAAGCTGCAGCACGAGAGGGGTGCAACAGGAAAGCTGCAGCACGAGAGGGGTGCAACAGGAAAGCTGCAGCACGAGAGGGGTGCAACAGGAAAGCTGCAGCACGAGAGGGGTGCAACAGGAAAGCTGCAGCACGAGAGGGGTGCAACAGGAAAGCTGCAGCACGAGAGGGGTGCAACAGGAAAGCTGCAGCACGAGAGGGGTGCAACAGGAAAGCTGCAGCACGAGAGGGGTGCAACAGGAAAGCTGCAGCACGAGAGGGGTGCAACAGGAAAGCTGCAGCACGAGAGGGGTGCAACAGGAAAGCTGCAGCACGAGAGGGGTGCAACAGGAAAGCTGCAGCACGAGAGGGGTGCAACAGGAAAGCTGCAGCACGAGAGGGGTGCAACAGGAAAGCTGCAGCACGAGAGGGGTGCAACAGGAAAGCTGCAGCACGAGAGGGGTGCAACAGGAAAGCTGCAGCACGAGAGGGGTGCAACAGGAAAGCTGCAGCACGAGAGGGGTGCAACAGGAAAGCTGCAGCACGAGAGGGGTGCAACAGGAAAGCTGCAGCACGAGAGGGGTGCAACAGGAAAGCTGCAGCACGGGATTCTGCTTTTGAGTCGACTCCAAAACTGCAGCACGGGATTCTGCTTTTGAGTCGACTCCAAAACTGCAGCACGGGATTCTGCTTTTGAGTCGACTCCAAAACTGCAGCACGGGATTCTGCTTTTGAGTCGACTCCAAAACTGCAGCACGGGATTCTGCTTTTGAGTCGACTCCAAAACTGCAGCACGGGATTCTGCTTTTGAGTCGACTCAAAAGCTGCAGCACGGGATTCTGCCTTTGAGTCGACTCCAAAACTGCAGCACGGGATTCTGCTTTTGAGTCGACTCCAAAACTGCAGCACGGGATTCTGCTTTTGAGTCGACTCAAAAGCTGCAGCACGGGATTCCTGTAGTCCTCTCACACAGGGACCGTCTCCTGGGGTGAAGGAGGGCGGGGAGGGAGGGGGGGATCAGAGAAGGTTGACAACACAGAGGGCGCAACAGGAAGACTGCAGCACATGATCCTTGTAATCCGCCTGCACACAGACCATTCTCTTTTGAGTCGACCTAAAATTACTATTGAGTCGACTGAAAATTCATCCTGCACAGAGACCGTATTCTGGAGTGAAGAATGGGGGTTTGGATGGGGGACGGCAAACAAGACTGAAAGGTCAACAGAACAGAGGGCACGCCCAACAAAGAGATGGGTCCCCCTTCCATCCCAAGCCCCACAGCGGCCTCACCTCCTGCTGCTGCTTCTTGGGGCTGTGCAGCCGCGACAACTATCAAGACGGCTCAAACATCTCCCCCCCCCACCACCATTCCCCTCCCATTCCAAGCCCCACAGCGTCCTTACTCAACCATTCCCCCCCGCAACCCGTTCCAAGCCCCAACAGCGTCCTTAACCATTCCCCCCCGCAAACCGTTCCAAGCTCCACAGCGGCCTCACCTCCTGCTGCTCTTTCCTGGGGCTGTGCAGCTGCGACGATTGGACGTACCCCGGATCTTGCCTGGGCAACGCGACAAGGGTTGCGGGGGATCAGAACAAGTGCAAGACAGATAAAGTGCAGCAGTGAGGAATGGAGTCTATTTTTGAGGCGCCTCAAAAATAGACTCAAGTGCAGCAGTGAGGAATGGGGGAAACGGGAAGGCTCACAACGTGGGATAAGAAGGGGAGGAAGAGAGAGCATACAGGGCGCAAGGGCAGAGGAAGAAACTCGCTGAGGAACCAAGGTGTAGATCGGAAGGTTTAGGCTGTTGCAGGGTGCTTTTGAGAATTCACAAAAGCACCCAGGAGGAGAGAGCATAGAGGGCGCAAGGGCAGAGGAAGCACACATGTTCAGGAAGCACAGTGCAGATGGTAAGGTTTAGATTGTTAGATTCAGGTTGCAAGGTAGGGTACTCACGTGGAAGAGCGGTAGAGGAGATACATTCCGGTGCCGGCAAAGATGAGAAAAAGGAGAGGAGTGAAGGTTTGAAGGTTCGGGGCTTAGAATTTATAACTTAGGGTACTCACGTGGAGGAGTGGTAGAGGGGGTACATTCCCGTGCCGGCACAGATGAAGACGGCCCAGCTAGGGTTAGGTAGTAAATTTCACTCTACTTACGTGGAGTGCTTTTGAGGCACCTCAAAAGCAGGGGTAGGTGTTGGGGCCTTAGGGCACTCACGTAGAGGAGTGGTAGAGGAAGTACATTCCAGTGCCGGCACAGATGAAGACGGCCCAGCTATGAAGGAAGTAGCTTAGAGGAGAAAGGATTGAATTGAGTAGGGAGCCGAGAGGCTCTATTGTACAAAACAAGGAGCAAGGAGGAGTTGGAAGGGAAGCTCTCCTATTGGCCATAAAGTGGACCAATGGGAGAGGTTGCTTGTAGGGCAAGCAACCACAAAGTGTGGTGCTCTCCGATTGGCCACAATGTGGACCAATGGGAGAGGTTGCTTGGAAGGCAAGCAACCACGAAGTGTGGTGCTTGGTGATTGGTTGGTTCTTAGGACCAAGGACCATTTGGTTGGAATAGTGCCAACCAAATGTCTAAGACCAAATCCAATCTTGACAAACCCAAATGTGGGGTTGGTCAACCCAACCAACAACCGCCCAATAATTATAATGACTGCACCTCCTAATCTAGGCATGCATGTTGTATAGATATATATGTTACAAGCTATCGAGTCAACTCGGAAAGGGGTAGGTGTGGGGGCCTTAGGTTAATCACATGGAGGAGCGGCAGAGGAGGTACACAGGTTGAGATAACAAGGTGTAGGTAGTCAAGTTCACGGTACTCATGTGGCGTGCTTTTGAGGCGCCTCAAAAGCAGTTTGAGATAACAAGGTGTAGGTAGTCAAGTTCACGGTACTCACGTGGAGGAGCGGTAGAGGAAGTACATTCTATTGCCGGCACATATGAAGACAGCCCAGCTAGGGGTAGGTGTGGGGGCCTTAGGGCACTCACGTGGAGGAGCGGTAGAGGAAGTACATTCCAGTGCCGGCACAGATGAAGACGGCCCATGCCCACGCTGCCATGGACGCTGTGATGTTCGGTAGGGTGGTGGCTGCATGGAGGAGGAGGGGAGGGAGGAGAGGGAAAGGACGGTAGGGAGGAGAAGAGGGCCAGGAAACACGGTTGTTCAAATCATGCCGGCACAGATGAAGACAGCCCATGTCCATGCTGCCAGGACGCTGTGATGACTGGGAGCGTGGTGGCTGCATGGAGGAGGGGAGGGAGGGAGGGAGGAGAGGAGAGGGAATGGGGGAGGGGAGAAGGGGAAGGGAAAGAGCATGGTTGTTCGGATTATGGCGGCACGGATGAAGACAGCCCACGCCCATGCTGCCATGGACGCTGTTGTCAATGGGAGAGTGGTGGCTGCACAGAGGGGGGAGGGGGGAAGAGAGAGGGGGGAAGAGAAAGAAGAATACGGCCGTTCGAATCAAGACGGGTGCATGGCTGTTTCTCGCCATCTACGGACTATGCACCATGCACGCATGGCGTACCCATGGCACCATGCACGCATGGCGTACCCATGGCACCATGCACGCATGGCGTACCCATGGCACCATGCACGCATGGCGTACCCATGGCACCATGCACGCATGGCGTACCCATGGCACCATGCACGCATGGCATACCCATGGCACCATGCACGCATGGCGTACCCATGGCACCATGCACGCATGACGTACCCATGGCACCATGCACGGATGGCGTACCCATGGCACCATGCACGCATGGCGTACCCATGGCACCATGCACGCATGGCGTACCCATGGCACCATGTACGCATGGCGTACCCATGGCACCATGTACGCATGGCACCATGTACGCATGAGACACTCACAGAAAACGACAGCTTTGGTGAAGCCAACTAGAAGCACAATGATGACAGCCCGCAGTGCTGGTGTGAGCAAGCCCGTATCTCACCACCTTGGCAATGTGCATTTATAAGGTAAGGCGCTACCTAGGCACACACAATCCACATTCAACTCACAGAAGACAACAGCATTGGTGAAGCCTATCAGCAGCCCGATGATGACCGCCCACAGAGCCGGTGCAAGGCCGTATCGTGCCATCTTCCCTGCCAGCCCCTTGGTGTCGTGCCGTGCGTCAAACACCTTTCTGGCGTTGGACTGCGAATAAAAGACAGAGAGGCGAAAGAGAAGGAGCAGGAGGCAAGACGAGGAGAATCAGAGGGAGAATGCAGTCCAGCAGGGGAGGAATACGGAGCAGGGATGATGGGAAAATGGCAAACCATTTCATCCACGTCATCATCCGCCTCACCAGGAAAAGCGCCACGTGGCGGTGCCCCTTGTCGCTCGCAAGCTGAGCTGGCATGCTCCCAGTGGAGTCGGTGGCAGTGAGATCGTCCTTGCTGCCCGCCTGGACCAATAGGGTAACCGCGTCCAGGTTGCCTCGGATGGCAGCCCAGTGCAGTGGCGTGCACCCCTCCTTGTCGGGGCGAGCGAGGTACGCGTCGCAGAAGAGAAGCAGGCGGATGGGGTCCGCGAAGCCCTTGTAGGCCGCCCTGGGGGAGGGAGGAGAGAGGAGGATGAATACACAGCTCCTGTTTCATGCTCCGTGCTCCCCCCAGCCTGCACCAGCAGGGTGACGGCGTCCAGGTTGCCTCGGATGGCAGCCCAGTGCCGTGGAGTGCACCCCTCCTTGTCGGGGCGAGAGAGGTACGCGTCACAGAAGAGCAGCAGGCGGATGGGGTCTGCGAAGCCCGTGTAGGCCGCCCTGGGGTTATTGGATGGATGCAGGGGGGAAGGAGGATAGAGGGAGAGAAAACGCAGAGAGCAAGAGAACGAAGAATGGAAAGAGAGTTGGTCTGTGAGATGACTCCACAACTCACCAGTGCAGGGGGGTGGCACTCACCAGTAGAGAGGGGGTGCGCTCACCAGTGCAGGGGGTGCGCTCACCAGTGCAGGGGGTTCGCTCACCAGTGCAGGGGGTGCGCTCACCAGTGCAGGGGGGTGCGGCCGTCGTTGTCAGTGGAATCAGCCACTGCCCCCCATGTAGCCACAATGTGGTATAGGAACGCTGTTTGCCCGTACTGTGCTGCCACGTGCGTGGCCTGAAGGGTAGAGAAAGGAGGAAGGGGAGGGGGAGGGGGGGGGAGGAGGGGAGGAGGGAAGAGAGGGGGAGGGCTAAATTAATATCAGCAGTAACAGAGAGGTGGCCAAGCCATCACTCTGTGGTATAGGAAAGCTGTCTGGCGATACTGTGCTGCCACGTGGGTGGTCTGAAGGGTAGAGAATGGGGGAAAGGGGGGGAGGCGGGGGAGGGGAGGGATTTCATCAGCAGTAACAGAGGGGAGGGCATCAATGTGGTGTAGGAACGCTGTCTGGCCGTACTGCACTGCCACGTGGGTGGTCTGCAGGGTAGAGAGGGGAAGATGGGGAGCAGAATGAAACACTGTGGACGGCAGAAAAAGAGAGAGAGCAGCAGAAGATACTGTGGTGTAGGAATGCTGTCTGCCCGTACTGTGCTGCCACGTGGGTGGTCTGCAGGGCACAGTGGGGATGATAGCAACAGCAACAGATGGATTCAATAGCCAGTACTGCTATTAGCAACCAAGCACAGAGCTGCGAAGTTTAAGAGGGTCCAACATTAGGGTCATGAACATTAGGAAAATAATGCACGTTTGTCCTCCTGTAGAGCCCTATCAGGACTCTTTGACTGCATGCTCACTCTGTAGCCGTGCGAATCCGCGACCTCCACGTCAGCGCCGCGTTGCAGCAACACGTCAGCAACAGCAATGCCACCTCGCACTGCCGCCCAGTGCAGCGCCGTCTGTCCCGATCGATCCTTGGCATTCACGTCCGCTCCTTTCTGGGGGAAGGGTTTGGCGGGGGAGGGGGAAGTGGGGGGAAGTGGGGGAAAGTGGGGGGAAGTGGGGGGAAGGGGGGGGGGGAGATGGAGGGGTAGAGGGCGGAGGGTCGGGGGGAATGGGAGCCAAGCAATGCCACCTCGCACTGCCGCTCAATTTGAGGCGCCTCAAAAAGGCAACGGCACTTGGCACTGCCGCCCATCGCAGAACAGGGCAGCCCCGGCAGGTCCCTGGTATTTCATCTCCGCTCCCTTCAGTTTGCAGGGTGTTTTTGAGAATTCTAAAAAACGCCCTGGCAGGTCCCTGGTATTTCATCTCCGCTCCATGTGAGATTTTTTAGAATTCTCAAGGAGGTATTCGTCTCCGCTCCCTTCGGAAGGCGATGTGGGGAAGGGGAAAGACAGACTCCTTAAGGCTTTAAAGTGGCACTCACATCCAGCAGGTCTACGCCTATAACGGGTTTGCTCTTCAGCGGGGACGCTCTTGCGGCGCCAAAAAGCCAGATACGCACACGGATGGAAATACGGTTTCAAACACGCTCTCCCATGTGTAAACACGTTCCTCAAGCAGGTAACTGGCTACAGCGGGTTTGGTATCAAGCGCGCGCCACTGCAGCGCGGAGTATCCGCCGCTGCCAATAGCATGGATGGAACGGTCTTTTTCTGTATAATCACTCACATCGAGCAGGTACGTGGCTGTAGCCGGTTTGCTATTCAGCGCTCTCCACTGCAGCGCGGAGCACCCACCATTATCACTGGCATGAATGGAATGGCCTTCTTTCTCGTATAATCACTTACATCAAGCAGGTACGGGGCTACAGCGGATTTCTTATTGAGCTCGCTCCACTGCAGCGCGGAGTAAGCTTCGTAATCACTAGCATGAATGGAATGACCTCTCTCCTTGCACGAACACTCACTTACATACGAGCAGATACGAATATTCAATTGAATTCACCCTTTCTCACTTGTGATCACTCACATCAAGCGGATATGAATATTCACTTGAATTCACACCTTCTCACTTGTGATCACTCACATCGAGCAGGTACGTGGCTACCGCGGGTTTGTTACTCAGCCCGCTCCACTGCAGCGCGGATTACCCCCCTGTATCACTGGCATGGATGGAATGGCCCTCCACCTCCACCAGCCCCTCTTGTCTTGAGGCGACTTACAAAACTGTTTCAAAATCAGCCCATTTTAAGAACTAACATCGAGCAGGTACGTGGCTACAGCGGGTTTGTTGTTAAGCGCGCTCCACTGCAGCGCGGAGTAACCGCCGGCATGGACGGGGTGCCCCTCCTCCTCCACCAGCCGCCTCAGCTTCCCCAGATCGCCGTACGCCGCAGCCGTGAACACATCGTCCTTGCTCCGCTCGTCTTGAGGCTCCTTAAAACTCGACTGTTTCAAACTCTGCCCATTTCAAGCACTTACATCGAGCAGGTACGTGGCTACAGCGGGTTTGTTGTTCAGCGCGCTCCACTGCAGCGCGGAGTACCCGCCATTATCACTGGCATGGATGGAATGCCCCTCCTCCTCCACCAGTCGCCGCAGCTTCCCCAGATCGCCGTACGCCGCAGCCGTAAACACATCCTCCTTGCTCCGCTCATCGTCCCCCTCCCCCTCATCGCCAGGCTGCTCCGGACCCGATCGCTGGTTCTGGTTCTGACTTTGTCGCTGCTGTTGCTGCTGCTGCTGTTGTTGCTGTTGTTGTTGCTGTTGCTGCTGCTGCAGCTCCTCTGCAGCCGGCCGTTTGTTGGATTCTTTGTGGTCTCTTCCGGCTGAACTGAGGTCTCTTGTATCGGAGACAAGGCTGTCGATCTCGATCTCCGATCGAGCCATTCCGAGCGAGGCGTACGGAGTAGAATACTTGGAGTAAAATATTAAGGGATTAGAATACTGAAGGAATTAGAATAGGTAAAAAAAGCCCTAAAGGAATTAGAATCCTACCAGGACATTAGGTACTATAAGGTGGAACACACTAGCGTGTTAAAAACATCAACAAAAGCCTAAGCTAGAGGAAAACAGTTTGTAACCAGGGCCCTCTAATTGCAGCCGCACCGACGATGCCGCGAAACAGCTTTAGAAACGAGGGGCAGTCGAGTAAAACTATGTGCAGGAGGAAAACCGGAAGGTTTCAACAGGACGGCTACTGAGGGGTATGCGAATGAATCTAAGCCGATTATTTAATCACTCCGTCTATGACACTCTTAGAGCAACAATATCACGTTTCTCCCATGGTCGCTTCGCCTCAATACCTCCTCCTCGCCGACTTCTCTCCGCCTGTCTCTCACCAATCACCTTTCTCGGATCACGCAATCCAGTCACCTTGGGAATTCCGCTACAGTACATACTCCAGCAGGCAGGTAAGGGAAGTCCCAAGGGGATTACGAAGTGAACGCGTTGTTTGTGAGTAGGGGAATTGATGAACGGACGGCGAACAGGCTCGGGAGGGAACGCGATTGCCCTGGCGAAACCTCGTGTGACTTATCTCTTCCGGACCTAACCTCTCTCCAGACCACTACCCTTTCATGCACCTGCGCCCTCGCGTCACAGAATCACATCGCCGAAGCGGACCTACAGGTATAATCCGAACGAAGCAGGTGGTTCGGAAATTGCGATGCCTCCACTTCACGGCAGAAGAGTGCGTCAGACGGGAGTGAGGAGTGCGTCAGATGTTAGGGAGTGAGGTTTCCCGCCTTTTTCCCCATAATGAAGCTTGATTGGTTCGACACCCAATGTCGAGGTACGGCATTGACCCAGAACAAAATGCAGCTCCGCCAAAGGTTCGTGGCTGTAGCGGGTACGCTGGAAAATCTGGTGTAGCTGGATTATCTCACTCACTAGAATGGTTGATTCATCATTTGGATTAGCAAGGACTCTAAAGAAAACATACATGCGAACAAGCACACAACCTTGCAAACGAACCAACCCCACTCCAGAAAATAACCTTATCTGAACTCTGATAAACGTCCAGATGAGAGGACGAAACAACCTGGTCGATCAATGGTGTAGTTTCCACCAGTCGGGGAACTGAACACAACACACACATGGACAAAGAAATGACAGAATGGCATAAATAGAGCACAGTAAACAACTGCACTGTTTCTTTCCTGATGAAACCGCTATAAGCGCCCTATGTACCAAACCTCCATTCCATATCCATGCAGCCCCTACCCCCTCACTTCCTCCCAGACCTCCCTCACCTGTCCCACGTGGCTGCCCCATTGTTGGTTACAAACTCAAGCGAGGATGCTCTTATGGAGTACACCTGCAGCAAAAACGGGCACAGGGGAAACATACATTCCAGCGGAGGAAGGGGAGGGAAGAGGCAGAAGGGGAAGGAAATGGGAAATAAGGGAAGGGGGGTGGGGGGTGCAGAAAATCAGGGGAGAGAAGGTGTAAAACAGCAAGAATTCCTGGAACACTATACGTATTAGGGCGAATTCTTGCGTCGTGTCATCCCGAGGATGACACCCGATTTTGCCTATAAGCTAGGTTCGGCATCGAGCAGCATCGAGCGGCATCGAGCCGCATCGAGCGGCATCAAGCGGCATCGAACGGCATCAAGCGGCATCAAGCGGCATCAAGCGGCATCAAGCATCAAGCGGCATCAAGCGGCATCGAGCGGCATCAACCGGCATCAAGTGGCATCAAGCGGCATCAAGCGGCATCAAGTGCATCAAGTGGCATCAAGCAGCATCAATAGCAAGGGCACACCTTGAGTGGAAAGCCAGCAGGCCCGCTGGCATTGGTGTCTTTCATCCTGATGCCGGGGACAGCCGTCCAGCTGCAGACACAGAGGAGAGGGGTAGATTGGTGAGCACTACTCCACAGAGCGCGACAGCACAGGGCAGCAGGACTGGGAACATGCAGCGCCACATCCCACAAGGGCTGCTGTTGTTGGGGTCTTTCATCTTCATCCTGTTTTGAGGCGCCTCAAAACTAGACACCTATCACGCGGTTTTGAGGAGCCTAAAACTGGACTTGCATCTTCAACCGGATGCAGAGGACAGCAGCACCACAACCCACAAGGGCTGCTGTTGTTGGAGGGGGATAGAGGTGCAGCGGTGGGCACTACCCATCTCATTTTACCCTGACGGGGTGCCGCTGTGGTGGATGAACGCCTGCTCCCACCCCGTCTCATAAAACACCGTGATCACACCTTCCTCCCCCTCCCCATCCACCTCCACCAGAGCCATCAGCTCGTCCCTCCTCCTCCCCTCCTCCCTCCTCCTCTCCTCATCCGTCCCACTCCCACTCTCCTCATTCTCACTCTTCCCAAACTCCGCCCACTCCCCAGGAGGCGAGTCGTCCCACCACCCCGCCACAACCTCCCCTTCCCTCCTCTTCCCCCCATCCATCCCCACTCTCTCCCCCCACTCTCCTCCCCCTTCCCCCTGCTCAACTGAAGTAGTACTAGTCCATCTCCCCACCTCCCCAATAACCCCTTCCAGCAGCACCATGCCCTCCTCCACCCTCCCCTCACTCATCGCCTCCCTCACCCCCACCAGCTCAGCAAACACCCCTGCCAGCTTGACATGCACTGCCTCCAGCCGCCACGTCAGCAGCTGCGCGCGGGACTCCAGCGCGCGCTTGTCGCGCCGCAACTTGGCGATTTCGCGGCCGAGCACGTCCGCCACGCGCTCCAGCCGGGCGGCGGTTGCCAGCTCAGCTTCTTCGGCGCGGGAGACTGCCGCCTGGAGTGCGAGGAGACGCATGATCGAGTCGCCAGTGGTGTCGGGTTCAGGTGTCGCTGTGGCTGTTGCTGTGGCTGATCCTGATGATCGTTGCGCTTTGCTGTGAGAGGCTGATGGGGATGAGGAGGAGGCGGATGATGATGATGAAGAGGGCATCGGTATAGCCCTGCCGTTACTGCTTTGGCCACTACTGGGTCCGCCACTACCACTGCTGCCACCACTGCTGCCGGCGCTGCTGCTGTTAATGGATCCGCCTTTAGCGAGTACGAGCTGCTGCAGGGAGGCGACCATAGAGGACCGCTCCTTCTCCCACTCCTCCCGTCTCAGCCGCATCTCGCGGTCCTTCAGCTCCACCTGTGCCGGCACGGAGGGGGAAGAATGGCAACGGTATCGAAAGGGCAAAACGAAGGCGCTCTTAGCAATGGGCAATGCAGTAGCGACGTGCTCGGGCTCTATATGGAGGACCGCTCCTTCTCCCACTCCTCCCTTCTAAGCCGCATCTCCCGGTTCTTCAGCTCCACCTGAGGAGGGCAGTGGAGGGGAGGGAATCAGCGGAGAGGGAAGCGGAGGGAAGGAGGGATATGAGAAAGAGTACCCGCATCTCCTGGTCATTCAGCTCAACCTGTGGGCAGCACGGATCACCCCGAGCATGGGAGCACAGCCAGAAAGCCCGCAAGATGGTATTAGCAAGAACAGAGCAGTGGTAGCAAAGATACAGTGAAACGGACCAGCCTATAGCGAGGGGAAGAGGAATGTGTGAAGCAGCATGTGCTGTGTGAAGCAGCATGTGCTGTGTGAAGCAGCATGTGCTAGGTGAAGCAGCATGTGCTGGGTGAAGCAGCATGTGCTGGGTGAAGCAGCATGTGCTGGGTGAAGCAGCATGTGCTGGGTGAAGCAGCATGTGCTGGGTGAAGCAGCATGTGCTGGGTGAAGCAGCATGTGCTGGGTGAAGCAGCATGTGCTGGGTGAAGCAGCATGTGCATATCTCTCTCATTCATTCAGCATGAAGGAATGAAGGAATGAAGGATACAGCTGCATTCATGTGCACATGCTCTCTTTCATTCAGCTGCACCTGTATCACCAGCTGCATGTGCACTGCTGCGCTGCCTGCAGCTCTGGCAGCAAGAGAAAAAAAAACAGCTGCAGTGCACACTTTTACGCTTAAAACTCAGGTAAAAGCAGATGTCCACCTGAATCAGCAGCTGCCGCGTGCGCTGCTGTGCTGCCTGCAGCTCGCTCTGCATCGTCTCCACCGCCGCCCCCACCACTGCCTCCATGTCGCCCACTGTCACGCGCTGCTGCACTTCTTGCGCCACTGTTTGCACCTGAGTAGCGGAGGAGGGACAAGAGAGGGGCGCAGATGCAGAGTGGGCACAAGCCCGACTGTAGAGTGCAGCTGCCCCCACCACTGCCTCCATGTCGCCCATTGTCACGCACTGCTGCACCTCCTGGGCCACCGTTTGCACCTGGAAGAGTGGTGAGAGGAGAGCATTGGAACGAGGGCGAGAAACGGATAAGTGCGGCTGCCCTCACCACAGCTGCCCTCACCACAGCTGCCCTCACCACAGCTGCCCTCACCACAGCTGCCCTCACCACAGCTGCCCCCACCACTGCCTCCATGTCTCCCACAGTTACCTGCTTCTGGACTTCCCCTGCTGCTACCTTCACTTGTCCTCCGATAACACCTCCCCCTGCTGCTACCTTGTCCTTCGATAACGCATCCCCCTGCTGCTACCTTGTCCTCAGATAACACCTCCCCCTGCTGCTACCTTCACTTGTCCACGAATACCCCCCCCTCCCCCCCTTGCTGCTATTGTTGAGCATACCTTGCTCAGCAGCGTCTGCCTCTGCCTCTCGTCTTTTATGTCACCCCTTCCCCCACCACCCCTTCCCCCACCACCCCTTCCCCCACCACCCCTTCCCCCACCACCCCTTCCCCCACCACCCCTTCCCCCACCACCGCTTCCCCCACCACCCCTTCCCCAACCAACCCTTCCCCCACCACCCCTTCCCCAACCAACCCTTTCCCCACCACCCCTTCCCCCACCACCCCTTCCCCAACCACCCCTTCCCCCCCCACCCCTTCCCCCCCCCACCACAGTCTCAAAGCACAAACCTTGCTCAGCAGCCTCTGCCGCTCGTCCTCCATCTCCCTGTTGACCGACGAGATAAGCGCATCCTCAGATCGAACCTCCCCCGCCAGCCGAACCAGGCTGCTCTGCGCCCCTGCTAGGGGGGCTTGTGGCTGGATGGGGGGGGGAGGGAACAGGGGTGGCGGACAATAAGGGGGCGAGGGAGAAAGGGAAAGGAGAAGAGGTGGGCGCGGGTGGGCGGCGAGGGGAGGGCGGGGAAGCGGGGGCCGGGGGACGTGGGGGGGAAAGAGGTGGGGAGAGGGGACGAGGGGGGGAAATTGGTGGGGAGAGGGGACGTGGGGGGGAAAGAGGTGGGGAGAGGGGTATGGTAAGGAACGAGACGTGAGGCGAGAAGTGACAGAACGGTGAGGTGAGAGGCGTGAGGGGGCGGTGAGGCGAGAGGTGCGTGGGGGGAGAGAGGGAAGCCATGAGGCAAGGGGGCACATACAGTGATATCGATGACACCACCGCTGCTGCCAGACGGCCCTACTCCCCCGACCCCCTCAGCTGCAAGCGATCTTTGGCGAATTTTGAGTCAACTCAAAAATCACCCACGGAGAGTACGTACGAAGCATGAGGAAGCGAAGCAAGGGGTGCAAGGGGGCACATACAGTGATATCGATGACACCACCACTGCTGCCAGACGGCCCTCCTCCCCCGACCCCCTCAGCTGCCCCCATGCCACTATCACCCACAACCACTCCTCCCACTGCCCCTCCTCCAATCCCTGCCACAGCCCCTGCCGCCCCTGCCGCCCCTGCAATCCCTACGTTCCCTGCTGTGCCTGACGCTGTTCCTGCTGCTGTCCGGTCTGCTATCCCTGCTCCTCCTGCCAGGGCGTCATCAGGCGACGGCGGAGGCAGGAGGGTTTCAAACGCCCGGGACAGCTGCGAGGCCATGTTCTTCCACAGACTCGCAAAGGGGCTGCCGCTGCCTGCAGCCGCTGCTGCCGCCGCCGCCGCTGCTGTTGCGGCTGTAGCGGCTGGTATTGCCGGCTGGGACGAGCGTGTGGAGGAGTTGGGCGGCTTCAAGTGTGCGGGTGGTGCTGTGGAGGGGGAGTGTGGTCCATGGGGCGACCCAGCATGGAGCGACCCAGCAGCGCTCATGGCTGATATCTGTGGAGCGAAGAGGGGGAGGGCGGAGAGGATGGAATAAGGTAGTGTGTGTAATAAGTCGTCTCAAAAATCGACTCATTGCACAAGAGGGGGAGGGGGGAGAGGATGGCATAAGGTAGTTTTCTGCAGCTGCTGGTGTTGCTGTGAAAGCTGCGTGTTGCTGTGAAGGCTGCGTGTTGCTTTGAAGGCTGCGTGTTGCTGTGAAGGCTGCGTGTTGCGGTGAAGGCTGCGTGTTGCTGTGAAGGCTGCGTGTTGCTGTGAAGGCTGCGTGTTGCTGTGAAGGCTGCGTGTTGCTGTGAAGGCTGCGTGTTGCTGTGAAGGCTGCGTGTTGCTGTGAAGGCTGCGCGTTGCTGTGAAGGCTGCGCGTTGCTGTGAAGGCTGCGTGTTGCTGTGAAGACTGCGTGTTGCTGTGAAGGCTGCGTGTTGCTGTGAAGGCTGCGTGTGTAATGGCAGAGCGTGGTCCGTGGGAGGCCGCAGCACTCATAGGGGGGGCAGGTGTGCTGGTGCTGCTGTGCACTCATGGCATATGGCACAAATGCCTACCCTTTCTCCTGCCTTAACCTTCTCACAGACGCACCCGCTGCTGCACTCTCTGACTTATCTCCAGCATTGCAGCAGCAGAAATTCTCCCACTCGCACCTTAATTAGCGCCCCCACTCTCACACACACACCTGCCTTAAACCCGCTCACCACTCACAGACGCACCTGCTGCTGCACTCTCTGTTGTATCTCCAGCATTGAGCCCAGCGCTGCAGCAGATTCCCTCTGGAAGGCGCAGGGACGCACGGCAAGCGAGGAATAGTGAGTGTAGGGACAGAGGGCAGGAGACCGCATTTGTTGTTTCTTACTGCACAACCAAGAAAGTTACTTACTCCTCCCCATGTGGCCACACGCGTTGTTTTTCACCCAACATCTGCATGTCACATTGAGTTTTAAGTCGATTTTTGAGGCGCCTCAGAAAGTGCCCACACGTGTTGTTGTTTCACCGAACATCTGCAAGTCAAATTGAGCTTAAAGCCCCGCAATTTGTATGCACAGCCCTCACCTGGGTGTCAAACGACTGCGAGGGGAAGACGAGTCCCACCAAGAAGTCCAACGAAAAATCTCAGAACGCGCTTGCCATGCACAGCCCCCACCAAGGAGTTGAGTAGGCTTCTGAGAATCCTTGAAATACCCAACGCACTTCCCATGCACGCATAGCCCTCATTTTGAGGCGCCTCAAAAGCTCACCTGGGAGTCAAACAACGGCGACGAGGAGTAAGCAAGAGCTGCATCCAACGGCCGACCAGGCGCCTCAATCCCTTCCTCCAACCCCCCTGCTGACTCAAAACTCACCTGAGTCGACTTTGAAGCTCACCTGGGTGTCAAACGACGGCGACGAGGAGAAAGCAAGAGCTGCATCCAGCGGCCGACCAGCCGCCTCAATCCCTTCCTCCAACCCCCCTGCTGCCGCTTCCGCTGCCGCTGCATCCGCGGGCTCATCGAAGAGCGCGGATGGCGGCATGTCCGGGAGGTCAGTGCGGATGGAAAGGCGCACGATGTTGTAGAGCGAGCCGTACTCACGCTGCAGGGACTGCAGTGGTCGGAAGAAGGGGTTGAATGATGGGGTGAGATGGGGTGAGATGGGGAGAAAGAGGGGGGAGGGGGAGGGGGATGGAGAGGCGCACGATTTTGTAGAGCGAGCCGTACTCGCGCTGCAGGGACTGGGAGAGGAGAGAGGGGAGAAAGAGAAGGAAGGGGGGTGGGGGGTGGAAGTGGGAGGGGGGGGAGGGAGGGAGAAGGATGGAGAGGCACACGATGTTGTAGAGCGAGGCGTACCCGCGCTGGAGAGACTGCCGGGGAAGACAGAGGGAAAAGAGGGGTGGGATGGGATGAGATGGAGAGAAAGAAGTGGAAAGGGGGGGGGGGGGGGGGGGAGAGGGGAGGACGGGCGGGGGGGGGGAGGGAAGGGAGAGGGGAGGACGGGGGCATGGAGGCCGACTATGTTGTAGAGCGAGGCGTGCTCGGGGGACATGATTTATCCGGGGTTCCGGAAACGTGTGAATGAAAGAAACGTTCCGACATGATTTATCAACTTAGTTTCAGAGTGGCAATCACATGGACTGGCATGCGCCGTGTGCTCGAGGAGCTTCGCCCCGCCATGGCTTTCGGGGGAAGGTCGCATGGCTTAAAAACGAATGAAAGGCAACTTACTTTCAGAGTAGCCGTCACTTGGACGGGCACGCGCCGTGTGCTTGAGGAGTTTCGTCCCGCCATGGATTTCAGCGACACGGCTCGCTCCAGAAGTCGCTCGATGCGGCCCCGAATCTCCGTCGCCGGACGGAGGTTCGACCCGTAAAGTGCCTGCTGCTCCGTCACGCCTCCGTTACCGTCACCGCTAACGTTACCGTTACCGTTTGCCATCTGACGGCCGTCCGAGTTGATTTTCTTCTGCAGCCATTGTATGGACGTGATTAGGTCCGAGATCTCCTTCCGAATCGAATCCACCTCCCCTCTCGCCGATTGACCGGCGACGTTGCCGTTGGTGGCGCGCGGAACCACGTGCGAGCGATAGCGGTTTCGAGCGGAGCTATTGGGGTTTAAAGCCAGAAGAGCCGGAAGAGCGTGGCTCAATGAAGACGGAGATTGCAGCTGAACCGATTGATCGGACCAGTCGCAACCCCATTTTCTCCTGGAACAAGCCGCTCCGGGACTGATAAATCTAAACAGTGGATACGACTCAGCTGAATCCGTCAAACATTTTAGAGAACGGGAGGAAGGCGAGGAGGTAACTGAATCATCACGCGACTCAGAAATCGGCACGAAAGGACACTTGCAGCGTTCGCTTGCTGCAGCTGGAAACAACCGGGTTTTCGCAGCAGTTCGCGAGTGTCTTCGCTGTGCGGTTGTAACGGTGGGCTGAGCAGAGCGGCAGAGAGGAGGCGGATGCAAGCGGAGATGCAGTTGCGCCGCCATTCCGCGATGAAATATATCTGGCTGGATTAACGAAACTGTGGGGGGGTTAAGCGGAAAATATATAACGGAAAGTCGACGACGGCTCTGCGACAAGTTAGCACGATGACATGGCTTCGCTCCTACAGCACGGCGAGGTGGCTTCCTTCCTTGCTATCGCGCTGACTTATCGCGCAAGGCGGCTATTTAGCTCGAACGTGCTCTCTCGACGTGGTTTCCTGGGAACGCATCGGACTAAAGCCTTCTTTTCTAAATAACTACTTCAGACTAAACGCATCGGACTACTGGAGCTTAGCGACCCTGTAACAGAAATGGAGCATCGTCGCATCAGCAGACTTGTCTTCCACATCACCATGCTCCAGTGTGGCTGTATTTCTCTCTAATTGTGTTCGTCTGTCGGTGGGCTAGGAAATGGAACACAGAGCGGATGGAAGACATGGTGAATGGCGGATGCTAGGGCGTGTCGTAAGCGTTCACTTTAGTACGGTTGATTAAGGTGCAAAGTGTTTTGAAAGAGGTAATATGAAAAAATAAAACGGTTGGGTAAGGTTTAGAGGAAAAACAGAACACACGCCACGCCCCCAGTAGGAAGGGAGAAGCTTTGAGGGTTCAGGCCATGGAGGAGAGACAGATCGACCAATCAGCAGCAACTGCTATAGTTCACTTTAGTGCGGTTCCGTATGGTGTTTTGCGTGTCAGAACATTTTGTTTATGCATTAGAGTGGTTGAGTAAGATTCAGAGGGGAAAAACTTGACACGTCCCCCAACCAGTAGGATGCCATCTGGGTGGAACGAGGTACGTGTATGTGTGTGACATGAACGGGAGCCTAAAAGCGGCGCGAATGGAAGTGATTGGCTTTGGTCGATTGGTTGGGCAGCACGACCGATAACGATTGGGGGGCTCGAGCAATACACGGATATTTTACACTCATTATACCGAGGATGCAAATCTCAGTCACCTGTCTCCATAAACCTTCTCAGCAAACATGGCATACCGTACTAATCAATTTCTACAAGGCATACCACATTCTAAGATGGACCATACAGATACAAAGCTAAGGACGTATGGCTGCAGCATCTGTAAGCACATGCTGGACTAGAAAAGCAGCATGGGGCATTTACCATTCAAAAAATTGCATGATCTGTCAAGGATTGCAGATGACCTCACATGCGCACGGCCACAAATGCACAGCTTTCGCGGCAATCAGCCGGGCTGCCAAGCAGGCTGCATCAACAGAAGCGAGGAAGCAAACGGAGCAGCATAGCAGCTGCAGCAGGCCTAGTGACGCTTCATCTCACGGAAAGTGGCAGCAGCAGAGGGGGAAAGTCGCACAAGGTATCGGAATACCTGGTGGGTTGGGGTTGGAAGGAGGGAGAAACGGAGAGGAGTAAGCAAGAGATTGAGAGAGAGGGAGAGGGGGTGCAGGGGAGGAAGGGGGGAGAGGAATATAATGAGCCAGGAGTCTCTTGCTAACATTATATTATTCTTCTCTCTAAGATTCTCATGAGCATTTGAGATAGATCGACGGTGGTGGCAGCAAGAAAGTGGGAGACAAAAGGAGTTGATGGTGACGAGCAAAAGGAGGCACTTGGGAAGAGTGAGGGACGAGCAAAAGGAGGGTGCATGAGACTGTGAGAGATGGGCACCCTCGACATATTCGTGATGGGCACGATGGCGACGAATATGTCGATTGGAGAGATTGGCTATGGAGTCCAGAGTACAAACATGACAGAACGCCATGACTGAACGACATGACTGAAGGGGCACATGCATCGTACCCAGAGCTTGAAGAATGAGTCAATGGTGACGGGCACGATGGCCACAAAGATGTAGATGGAGTTCTGGTCCGCCACAAGCCCGTAGTGGTCCAGAAACATCTCCACCACCGTCTCCCACCCCGACTCCGAGTGGTACCTGCAGGCGAGCAGGGGGGGTGAGAAGGAGAGAAAGGACCAAGGGAGCCAACGATGACGGGCATCATAAATCTCTGATACGTGAGTGGAATTCTGGTGCGCCGCGAGCCCGTAGGGGTCTAGGAACATCTCCACCACTGCCTCCCACCCTGACTACGAGTGGCACCTGCAGATGGGAAGAGGGGATTAGGTTTTGGGGTTTGGAATTGGTGAGGCTTGGGAGATCGGAGCAGAGGACGATGGCAAACGCCTTGCCAGGGGTTCAACCAAAGGAGGAGTTACAGACACCATACACCTCCCCTCCCACACGTCGCACTCACCCCAAGAAGAGATCGGTTGGAGCAGCGGATGATGGCAAACGCCTTGCTGGTGCCTGATGTGCTAACGCCCACCCACATCCTGCATGAATGCTGGCTATCCCCCCCCCACCCCACCAGCCTCTCTCATCGCGCACTCACCCCAGGAAGATGTCGGAGCAGAGGATAATGACAAACGCCTTGCCGGTATCTGAAATGTTGGTGAAGATGCGGTCGGCCGTGAGCTTCATGATGCCCACTTGGCTCGGGCTCTTCCACTGGCTGGCAATGTCATACTGATCCCTCTCTATCCCTCTTGACCCCTCTTGATCCCTCTTGACTTCCACTCACCCCAGGAAGATATCAGAGCAGAGGATGATAACGAAGGCCTTCCCCGTGTCTGAGATGTTGGTGAAGATGCGGTCGCCCGTGAGCTTCATAATGCCCACTTGGCTCGGGTTCGCGTACAGAATGAACGCGAAGATGAGCCACCCCACCGTGTCTGAAAATATATATGCGAACGCTGCTTCATTCTCGTGCCGGATCTCCTCCCGCATCTCGCGCCTGCAATAGGGAATGAGGTCCGCGTACAGAATGAACGTGGGGATGCACGAACGCGAAGATGAGCCACCCCACCGTGTCTGAAAAGATGTTCGTGAAGGCGACCTCGTTCTGGTGCCGGATCTCCTCCCACAACTCACGCCTGGAGGGTTTTACAGGGTTCAGGGTTTAAGGGTGAAGGGACAGGGGCGACGGAACACGAAGATGAGCCACCATACTGTCTGCAAAAATGTTTACAAAGGCTGCCTCGTTCTCGTGGCGCCTTAAACCGGGCCCGCTGCCTCATCCTCGAAAACCCTGCCCATCCCAGTTTTGAGGCGCTTCACCCTCCAAAACCCTGCCCATTCCAGTTTTGAGCCGCCTCATCCTTCAAAACCCTGCCATAGCAGTTTTGAGGCGCCTTATCCTCCAAAGCCCTGCCCATACCCCAAACCCCGCCCATACTTTGAACTACAGGTGCCGCAACGCAAGAGGACAAGCGGAACATTTTCTGCTACCCAGCATCATCATTCACGCTTCTTCCTGCAGGTAAGCAGCCAACCCATCCTCTGACAAGGGTGGCGCCTTCCCAATGGCCCCAAGCCTCAAACCTCCCCACAACTACATTTTCCCCACAACTCACGCTTCCTTCAGCAGGTAAACAGCACCTCTGACAGGGAGGGTTCTTCCCAATGTCCGCCTCGAACCTTAAACCTCAAGCCTCACATCTCAAGCCCAAGTCTTTTCCAAAGTCTTTTCCCCACGTCTCTTCCCTGACCTGCCCAAGTCTTTTCCCCACACCTCATGCTTCTTCCTGCTGACACGCAGCCAGCCCATACTCCGACAAAGGAGATGCCTTCCCAATGTTCGCCTCAAACCTTCTCGAACCTCCCCGAACCTCCCCAAACCCTCCTAAAACTCACGCTTCCTCCTGCAGGTAAGCGGCCAGCCCATCCTCCGACAAGGGCGGGGCCTTCCCAATGTCCGCCTCGAACCGGATCCGCTGCCGCTCCAGCTTGAGGCGCTCGATCATGTTGAGCTTCTGCGCCTCCCTCAGGTCCAGCATGCGCGCTATCAGCGGGGTTGTGTGCGCATAGCTGGGGGGAAGCAGGGATATTGAGGTGGAATGGGATGCATTTGGGATGGGAAAGGGGGGATGAGAGGAAACGAATGCGCTGCTGCTCGATCATGTTGAGCTTCTGCGCCTCCCTAAGGTCCAGCATGTGCGGTATCAGCGGGGTGGTGTGCGCGTAGCTGAGATACACGAGGGGGTTGGGGTGGGAGAGAGTGGGGGGGATAGAAGGGTTCGATCATGTTGAGCCTTTGCCCCTCCCTCAGATCCAGCATGCGCGCTATCAGGGGGTATCTGGGGGGGGATCGGGTTGTTGTGGTGGGCGTAGGATACATTCGGAATGGAAAAAGCGGGGTAAGAGGAACCAGATGCGCTGCCTCTACAGCCTGAGCCGCTCGATCATGTTGAGCTTCTGCGTCTGTCCAGCAGTCGCACTATCAGAGGGGTTGTGTGCGCATAGCTGGGAGAGGGGGGGCCGGGGGGTATTGGGGTGGAATAGGATGCTTTTGGGAAGGCGGAATAAGAGGAGCCACATGCGCTGCCTCTCGAGCTTGAGGCGCTCGATCATGTTGAGCTTCTGCCCCTCCCTCAGGTCCAGCATGCGCGCTATCAGGGGGGTTATGTGCGCGTAACTGGGGGGGGGGGGTGGAGGAGAGGGAAGGGGGGGGTTGTGGTGGGTTTGGGATGCATTCGGGATGGGAAGGGCGGGATGAGAGGAATCGGATCCGCTGCCTCTCGAGCTTGAGCCGCTCGCTCACGTTGAGCTTCTGCCCCTCCCGCAGGTCCAGCATGCATGCTATCGGAGGGGCTGTGTGCATAGTACGTTTAGGGGGTTCTTGGTGGTGTGGTGTGGTGCAGGGTGCGGATGTAGTCAGTTGGCTTGGGCTCAGCAAAAAGTGGTTCTCCCAAGGATGTAGACGCAAAACGGTATTTTTGCATATTTTATACGTACTGGTGCATGAAGGGGGTGAGGATGTAATCATGCAGCACCCAGCTGGACACCCACGGCACTGCAATGAGGAAGATGACAAATTTGGCCTGCCAAGAATGAGAAAGAGGGGAGGGAGGAAGGAAAACAAAAGGGTTTTGAGTTGGAAGAAGAGGGATGAAGTTAAAAACGTTTTCCTCCGTTGCTCCTCTGTCTCTTGTTTTGGTAACTTTCTGTTTCCCCAACATAAACTTCTTCACCGCAGACTGACTCCCTTACCTCCCCTGTCTCTTACCGTGGTCTGTCTTCTACCGTGGTCTGTCTCTTACCGTGTTCTGTCTCTTACCTCCCCTGTCTCTTACCGTGGTCTGAGACGTGTATCTGAAGACCCGCTCTTCGAACGTCAGGCTCTCCTCCACCTCGTCCTGCGGCTTGAAAATCCTCACCAGCAGCTCTCTAAACGACCGGCTCATGCCTCTCTCCGGAATATCCGGCGCCTCTCGTGGCATCCCCCCTTTCTCCCAGTCTGGTTGCGGCTCATACCACCCTCCAGTCTTATAATCATACTCTGACGGATCGTCTAACCAATCCTCCCACTCCCTGTCGTCCGGATCCATCCCCGCGACTTGGATTCCCCGTAGTTCTCGGGACGTTTGCCACCGCTCGAACCGCTCGGGATCTGCCAACATGCTGTCGATGTCGTCATCCGGGCCGCCCACTATCTGACGTTGCTGCCAGCGTGGCAGCGGCGCGCCGGGCTCACCCGAACCGGACTTATTCCCGGACATCCCTGGGCCTGTTTGCCCGAACCCCTTTCCGAACACCGAGCCTGAACCGGTGCCACGGAACCCTGATCCTTTAAATCCCGGGGCTTCGAATCCTGGCTGCCTGCCTGCAGATCCCACACCACCGCCGCCAACACCCTCTCTATTACTGCTGCCACCTCTCCCTGCTTCTCCGCCTCCGCTTCCCCCTCTCCGCGTGCCGAATTCTCCTCCCCCTCCCCCTCTCCGCGTGCCAGGTTCCCCTCCGCCTGGCCCTGCCCCTCCGCCTCTCCGCGTGCCAGGTTCCCCCTCCGGTCTCCGGCTCCGCCTCCGCGCATCCCCCGGAGGTCCCCCGGGAGGCTCATCCGGAACACCTGGCCACCCCGGGGGAGGTTCCGGAGGGCGTCTGGAGAACCAGTTATCCCACCAGGCTAGTCGCGTGCGCCATTGCTCCCGTCTCCTGTGTCGCCTACCCGGAAGCTCTGGTCCCCTAATAAAGGGAGAAGAAGACGGATGCTGGGTACGGAAGGGGTTTGAGGAGGGATGAAGGGAGTTGGGACCGGTGCTGTGGGGAGGGGTTGACGGGAGCTGCCGTCGTGTTCTTCCGTATGAACCCTGCCCGGCTCGACATTGGACTGATCGGCTGACGTCTGAGCTCCTCTCACGCTGCTGATAACGCTGCTGGTATAATTGATTCGGGGGGTTATTGAAATGTGGTTCCTTGACACGGAAAATGCTACTTTGGTAGCTTGGAAAATCTGCAGTGCTTGCGCAGGTTCTCGACGATCGTGGTATGATGGGAACGCTACCTATCCTGCAGGTGTGTAGACTCTCAAGCACCCTTGAACGTGGAGGAAGAGGAGGGAGTCCTAGAGGAGTGCTGGAGAACCGCCCGGAAGAAGAGCCGACCCTCCTGAAATGATTTCGTGCGAGATCGCTGGATTCATTCCCCGTTCGTCGGGTTTGATTCGCTTGCGTCGATGCGCTATTGATCAACGAGCTGCATCGGGCTGCGTGGCCAGGCTGGGAAGGTGACGTCAGCATGTCTGTTTTTTCCAGCCCAAACAAGGGGACGAAATATAGGAAAGGAGATGCTCATCTAAATCCCTTCCTGCCAGCGATACTACCGCTAACAACCCTCATCAGTGCACGGAGCTTTTGACACTGGTGGATCCATAGCCAGACCAGACAGTCTCGGACCATAGACGAATAAAGCCTGAGAGGTGCACACGGGTAAAATGACGCCAAGAGCGTTACTCTCAATGCAGTTCAGCAACTAGGGGCATAAACTGGTTCGTTCAGGATCAAGACCTAATCGAGCACAATGACCGAAAAACAGGCGAGGTGAACTAGCTGCTTCTTTTAGGCTGATCAGATGGATGATCAGAAAAAAGAAATGCGGATCAGAATGGAAGATCCCTAGGTCGAATGTGTCAGGAAGGGGTTGAGGAAGAAAGAAATTGGACTTCCCTAGGCTGACGTATCCACTTTCAGCACCAGGCTGCACCATGGCGCAGTTGTTGAGGCTTTCGAAACAGCGCGCACGGCCAATCGGAACTTTCAAGGCTCGTGACGTGGTGGTGTCAAGGTTGGGATCAGCCACGGCACGCCATGGCGAGGTTCGATTGGCTTGTTTGGGATTTTGGCGGGGCTGTGAAGCTGCCATCGCGCTGCTTCGGTTGGTCCTTCGCGTTGGCGGACGTGGCGAGAAAAGCATTTCCACGTCATGCGCTCCTGCTCCATTGTTGGGCATAAATGTGATATCAGAGGAGACTGTTATCTACACCTTCATGGGTTGCGATAGCCAGATAATACTCACAAATATGAGTGGAATATACTTAACATCAAGCGGTCTCCTCATTTCAGTGATGCTCGTCACCACTTGTACCGTACGGTACTCTCTAATACGACAGACCACCATGAATCAAGAATTAATTGAGGCCAGGGGAAATCACTGTGTAATTGTGTATGTGCAAATATGTATGTACAAAGGCACATGATCATCGTTTCTCTAGTAACTCAATGGAGGCTTGGAAAATTGTCCCAGTAAGGAAGTCCTCTACTTTAAAGCTATCAGCACACGATTCCCGGCTTCACCCTCACGCCCCGTTGCTCCGTGCAAGGTTGCTGCTCAGCTTGCCCCCATGACCCTGACGCCTGCATCATATCCACAAACTCGCTGAAGCACAGCCGTCCATCGCCATCAAGATCGACGCTCCGGATCATTCTTTCGCATTCTTCCAACGACATGTCCTCGTCCTCCCAGATCCCCCCCATCACTTCGCTTAACTCCTCCGCTGTGATAAAGCCGTCCTTATTCCGGTCGAACAGCTCAAAAGCCGCTGCCAGATCGTCGACAGACGGGCCGTCGCTACTCCTGCAGAACGCATCAGCCGCTGATTCGCAATCGGACGCGAGAGACGCGAATAGAGTCGATCTCGGAGATGCCTCGAAAAGAGCGGGCGTGGATGCTGAGTGGCTACTAACGCGGATGAATTCATCGAAATCGACGTAGCCGTCGCCGTCAGTGTCGGCTTGGCTCATCATGGCTTGAACCGTCTCCTCCACCCGCTCTTCCCCGAGGCTCTCGAGAACCGATGCGAGCTCTGTTGCAGAAATGCGACCGTCGCGATCTCGATCCATTAGGTCAAAAATAAAGCTGAATTCGTCAATCGGTGTTGCGACAGGTGACTTGCTGGTAGGGAGCTTCGGAGCCATGGAGTATTCGAGGAGTATGTAAGGATGCGAACAGGAGTGAGGTGCGGTGTTGCGAGATATTGCGTTGGACACTGATATTTGATGCTGATGCCGACTGCCGGCAATTATCAGACAGATGGTTGCTGAATGTCCCTGGTTCAAAAATAAAGCTGTAAAAGAAAGGAACTGAAATTGTTGAGTGTGTGACTAGGAGAGAGCTATATATGACCAGCTAGCAATGCTGGAACCTGGGATGGTTTTGTAACTGTTGGTGCACGGCAATGCTGCTCTTGGCTGGCTGCAGCAACCAGTGAGACAGCAGCAGGCTCTGTTCCAGAGAGGTGCTCTGCTGCTCGCCTCACCTCGCCCGGCCAAGCCACACGATTGCACGGCGTTACTGATGCTGGATGGCAGAAGAGGAGAAACGCTTTTGTTCATTCATACCCGTCCGACCAGAGCGGCCTTCCGGTGACCAGCGGAACACCGCGGGAGGGACGCCATTCCAGCCACGCGCAAGGAAGGAGCGGACGACAAGCTGGACTGGCAAATTGGCGTGGTGGTGGCACGGAGGTGGATGGATGGACGGGCCCGAAGCGGGGTGCCAGAACGGGACGGGAAAGGCGTGTATGATTGGGTGGGGGGGAGAGTGAGGAAGGTGTAGTGCGGGGGAAGGAGAAGGTAGGGGGAAGAGTGGGGGGCCGTTCGGGAATCGGGACGGGACGGGAAGGGGAGGTGTTTGCTAGCTGGCGGACAGCGGCGGGGGTTGAAGAAACCGAAGGAAACTGCAAGTCCAGTGTGCTGCCCTGCTGTCTGGCTCCTCCTCAGTCGCAACTGTCGCAGGTGGTCTGAGCCTGCGAATGGTGCGAGGAAAGAAGCACTCGTCAAAGTCGTATCTTTTCTTCGCGCGCTGCTTTTTCTTGGCCCAAGTCAGTCGCCTGCATTCCACTGTACACGTTACACCTGCGACAGCGGACTGCGACAAAGTTGAGACTGAAACGAGGATATTGGAAGCATATGCACGCGCAAGTGAAGGTTTCTTTCGTTTTGTGAGTGCGAAATCAACGAACGACCAGCCGTTGATGATGGAAAAACGGCGAGAAACGGTTTTTTGAAGGTGGACCACACTGGCTGCATCTCACATCACAGGGCTGTACGTGAAAACAAAAACCCTTTGTTGATACACCTAGTCCCCGCTATTGACATGACAATTCCAATGGATGTAGCAATTAGCATGTACAACACATCTAATCTGTGCATACGCCTGCAACATAGACAAAGTGCTTGTTGAGTAATCATTCAAGCAAAAAATACAGCATCGCATTCGTGCACTGTGCCCATGGTTTCAGAAACCTGTGAAGCCTTTCGGGTCTCTCTCACTTCAACAGGGATTGAGTACAGTAACTCAGGCTGCCACAGTGCTTTCAGCAGCAGTTCCCACCTCGTGCCCTCCTGCCACCCCAGCGACACCTGCATTTGCAGCTGTTCCATTCGCCACAGCCACAACAGCAATCTCGGGGACAACAGCAGCAGCTTCTGAGATAGCAGCAGCAGTACCAGTGGCAGGTGTGGGCTCAGCAGGTGGGGGGGTTCTGCGGGATACAGTCATCAGAAGGCCGTTGGTGGTGTGGATGGTGGCTCCTGTGGTCATGCCCACCTGATGGGGGGAGGGGATGGGGGAGCGAGTGAGCCAGAGAACAGGAGCCACGGGATAAGGGATGCGGGGTAAAGGAGGGGAGGACAGGAGGGTGACAAAGGATTGCAAGGAAATGGGGGAGAACGTGGGTGAGGAGGAAGGCGGGCAAAGGGGAGCGCAAGCACATTCACCCGGTGCGGGGCTGAAGTTGAACCGCCTAACCATCATAACCACTGCTGTGGTGACCTAGCCTATATGACACCGCCTAACCCTGCGCATGACACCGTTGACTCCCATCCCCATGCACTCGTCTACCTGCCAGGCCTCCAAGCACTCACCGCTTCAGCACCAGGTGCGAGGCTGAAGTTGAACCGCCGGGCCAGCATCGCCACTGCTGTGGTGACTTCAAAGGTTGCAAAGACATCCCCTATGCACTTGCGCTGGCCGCCGCCAAAAGGCAGGTAGCTGTTGTGGTTCAGGAGGGGGAAAGAAGGGTGGGAGGGGGGAGGGGGGCCGGGGGTGGGGGGGGGGAGAGAGGGAGGGAAGGTGAGCCGTGGAGTCCTCAAACTTTGCAATCACATCGCCTATGCACTCGCGCTGGCCGCCACCGAGAGGCAGGTAGCTGTTGTGTATAGGAGGGGGAAAAGAAGAGAGGCAAGTGAGGTGAGCTGTGGTGACTTCATTCAAACGTTGCGAACACATCGGCCATGCACTTGTGCTGGGCCCCACCAAAATAGAGACCATCTGCTTTTGAGGGACCCAAAAGCACATCGGCCATGCACTTGCGCTGGGCCCCACCAAAATAGAGACCACCTGAACCTCTTCCCCGCCACGGGGAGAAAGGGTGTCGCCACACCCTCCTGATGATCACACTTGAGTTGGTTTTTTTAAATTCTGGAAACCCGACTCAACGGGGTCGTCACACTCTCCCGATGCCATGACACACCACCGAGCTCAGCTGGAGTGCTCTGCCACCACGCAGATACTACATGAAGCCTGCTTGCTTCACCTGAACCCTCACCTGAAGTTCTCTGTGACTTCGTTCGGGTCGGGCCCGTCAAGCGGCCACCTCTCAGGCCGAAAGTCCTCTGCATCCTGCCACAGCTCGGGGCTGTGGTGCAGATTCCACACCGAGATGAAAATGTCCTGACCCCTGGTGGTGGTGGGGTTGGGGGGCAGTATGAGTAACGGGGGAGGTGGAAGAGGAAGGAAGAGCCAAAAGGCCACTGCTTCCTGCCACAGCTCGGGGCTGTGATGGAGGTTCCACACCGAGATGAAAATGTCCTGACCCCTGGACCCTGGTAAACTCCACTGCTTGATGGGATATTCTCCCAGCACATCATCCTCCAACGCTCTTTAAATGAGCACCAGTGGCTGTGGGTACAGCTGCATGGCATCACTCTCGTTGTACACCAGAGAGCAATGCAACATACGCCTTATAGTAAGACTCATTGCTTGATGGGATACCCCCCCAGAACGCCATCCTCAAGCGCCCGCCAAATGAGCACCGGTGGCTGCGGGTACAGCCGCATGGCCTCGTTGATCACCCTCGTTGTGAACCAGAGACCAATGCATGGCACGCCTAATAACAAAACATACTGCTTGATGGGGTAGCCTCCTAGCACGTCGTCCTCCAGCGCCCGCCTGATGAGCACCGGTGGCTGCGGGTACAGCCGCATGGCCTAGTTGATCACCCTCGTTGTGAACCAGAGACCAATGCATGGCACGCCTAATAACAAAACGTACTGCTTGATGGGGTAGCCTCCCAGCACGTCGTCCTCCATCGCCCGCCTGATGAGCACCGGTGGCTGCGGGTACAGCCGCATGGCCTCGTTGATCATCTATGCTGAGAATCAGAGAGCAATATATTGTACACTCTAGAGTACCACTCACTGCTTGACGGGTAGCCTCCCTCCCAGCACATCATCCTCCAGCGCCCGCCTGATCAGCAGCACTGGTGGCTGCGGGTACAGCCGCATGGTCTCACCTTTGCTGGGAATCAGAGAGCAAGATATTGTACACTCTAAAGTACAACTCACTGTTTGATAGGGTATCCTCCGAGCACGTCATCCTCCAGCGCCCGCCGAATGAGCACGGGTGGCTGCGGGTACAGCCGCATGGCCTCGTTGATCACCCTCGTTGTGAACCGCAGCTTCTTGAAGTCGTCGATGGCCGGCTGCCTGTCGCCCAGCACCGAGTCCACCTCTGCCTGCAGCTTCTCCATCGCTGCAGGGTGCTGTGGGGGGAACCAGGGAGGGGAGATGGGATGGAGGACGAGGTGGGCAGAAGTTGCGGAGTGCCTTGTGAACCGCACCCTCTTGAAGACGTCGATGGCCGGCTGCCTGTTGCCCAGCACCGAGTCCACCTTCTCCATCGCTGCGGGGTGCTGCAGTTGGTATATCGCAGAGGCACAAGGGAGAGTGCTTCTCACAGCAGTCATTGATGGTCGGCTGCCTGTCGCCCAGCACTGAGTCCACCTCTGCCTGCAGCTTTCCCATTGCGGCTCGGTGCTGCGGTTGGTACGAAGGGAGGGGGGGTAAGGGGAGGTGAGTGGGGGGGAGGGGGGGATGGCGGGAGAGTGGGTGGGAGAGCCTCGGGCTTGGTGGACTTCGAAGTTGACTTTAAACATGCAATGGGAGGTGCTCTATATCTACCTGCGCCATGAGGTAGAACGCCCATGTGAGCACGGCGGCAGACGTCTCATGCCCCACAATCAGCATGGTCATCAGGTCGTCCCGCAGCTGCTTGCTCTGCTTTGACTCCCGACTCGTTGACAGATAAAACCAAGGTGCAAAACGGGATTGTATAAAACGGTCGTTTAATACGATTAAAACGGCTGAAAGTGGTGTTCTGCGACTGGTACAAAAAAACGGTCGTATAAAACGACCATTTTTCTGTACCGTTGTATACAACGGTGGTGCCCTTTAGGAGGAGGGCTGGGAGAAGGAGGAGGACGACCAGGGCGAGCAAGAGGACTAGTAGGGCGAGGATGAGGATTACTAGGAGGAGGTGGAGGAGCACAGCCGGAGTAGAGGGAATTGGAGTAGTAGGAGGAGGAAGGCCACAGGAGGTGTATGAGGACGCGGAGGGCGTTATAGATGCATGTAGACTGCCAGCGCCACCAGGCCCTCTGTTTCCCCCTTTTTTTAGGACATTAAAAAAAAAAAAAAAAAAAAAAAAAAAAAAAACTCAACAAAGAAACGGCCAGATTTACATAAATCTGCCGTATAAAACGACTGTATAAAACGAACCGTTTAATACAGAAACCGTTCTTTTGCACCTTGGATAGAACCCGTCTTACCTGCGCCAGGAGGTAGAACGCCCATGTGAGCACGGCAGCAGACGTCTCATGCGTGAGGAGTCTATTTTTGAGGCGCCTAAAAAATAACCCATCTTACCTGCGCCAGGAGGTAGAACGCCCATGTGAGCACGGCAGCAGACGTCTCATGCCCCGCAATCAGCATGGTCATCAGATCGTCCCTCAGCTGCTTGCTCGTGACGTCATCCCCCGATGCCACCAGAAAGTGCAGGATGCTGGGGTCCTCCTTGTTTAAGTACTCCTCGAAAAACTCCACATCCTCTGCTTCCACCATTTTCTGGACGAGGCAGAATGGAGGGGGGAGGGGGTGGGAGGGACATGGAATGGTAGGTGAATGGGGGAGTGAAAGGTGCTGAGGTAAGTGCAGGATGCTGGAGTCCTTCTTGTTCTTATACTCCTCAAAGAACTCCACATCCTCTGCTTCCACCACTTTCTGAATGTGGGGGTTGGGGTGGGTGGGTGGAGGAGTGGGCATAGAAACTGAGTTGGGCCAAGGGTGACTTGTTGCAAAGTGCAGGATGCTGGGGGCCTCCTTGTTCAAATACTCCTCGAAAAACTCCACATTCTCCACCTCCACCATTTCCTACATATGCAAGGGTGGGGAGTGGGGGCGGAAGGGGGGAGGGGGAAGTGGGCATAGAAACAGAGTTGGGTCAAGGGTGTACGTTGCCTGACTGCATTGCCTTGTTCCGGCCAGAAAATGCAGGATGATGGGGTCCTCCTTGTTCAAATTCTCCTCGCAGAGGCTAGAGAATAACACCTAATTTATGTGCATGCAGTGTGTGTGCTGCTGTTTCTGCTCCCTTGCATTCAGATATCAGCTCAACGAGGGTGGCTTTTGATGAGCTTCAGAGCGGCAGCACCTTGCACTGGCTGGGCATCATCACCAAGATAGGTCCTTGTGCTTGTACTCGATATACACATCCTCACCTTGCATTCTGCGATCAGCTCGTTCAGTGTGCTGTTGATGAGCTTCAGGGCGTCCGACACCTTGCGCTGGCTGGGCATCACCACTCGCAGGGGCGGGATCTTCCAGTAGGGGAACAGCGCTGTGCTGCGCACCTCAGCTTCCCTTAGTGTCACATACACCGCCTGTATGGGGTTTTGGGACGCGCATTCAGTACGTTTAGGCTGAAAAATATTAACCTCTGCTTCACTTAGTGCCACCTAGACTGCCTGGATGGGCTTTGGGAGAACTGCACAATGTCCAATTGATAGGAAGCGATTTGTACTCATAGTCGAACACAGCCTTGCTGATCACATACAGTGCCGTTTCTTGTTAAAAATAACAAAAAACAAACAAACCCTCCTCTCTCACCTCCACTATCCCAGTGTCCTTGGAGAGTGAGTTGAACTCGTAGTTGAAAACGGCCTTGCCGATGACATCCAGGGTCATGCGGGAGAACAGAGACTCCATCTCCACCACCTCGCCCTTCTCTGCCGCTCTCTCCAGCTTGTCGCACAGCCGCTGAGAGCACTCACTGAATAGCGACACCATGGCGCTCACGTACTGGAAGAGAGGAGGTGGGGAGGGGGGGGGAAAGGGCGGGGGAAGGGAGTGGGAGAGTGTGGAACAACAGAAACTGCTCCTCTATCTCCACCTCTCCCATTTAGCTTCTGTCTCCAGCTTGTCGCACAGCCGCTGAGAGCACTCGCTGAATAGCGACACCATGGCGCTCACGTACTGGAAGGTGGGTTAGGGGGGGAGGAGAAGCGAGTTGGGTTGGGAGTGGGTGGGGAGGTGCAGAGAGTGGCAGACAGGAACAGAGACTCCGTCTCCACCACCTCCCCCTGCTTTGCTGCTCTCTCCAGCTTGTCGAACAGACGCTGAGAGCACTCACTGAATAGCGTCACCATGGCGCTCACGTACTGCAAGGGAAAGGGGAGGGGAAAGGAGTGGGGAGGTGGTAGGAGAAGATCATAGGTGGACAGGACCGAGTTCTGGAGAGATGCTTTAACGGAAGAGGATAGGGTGGAAGGGGAAAAGCGAGTCAGATTTGGGTGAAGAACCCCAAGCAGAGGACGTGTGCCATTTTTGCACATTCCGTCCCGAGCAGTGCAGTTACAGCGGTGCGGCGGCTTACCTTTCTGTGCAGCGCAGGGGCAACGGTGCGGCGGCGAGTGACCCACACCTCGCCATCGGCGGGAATGAGCCCCTGACCCATCACGAAGTCGAGAATCTCAGACAGGATCCCCTGCCGCCCACACACGGTGCCCCAGAATAGAAAGGATATTGGGGTTCAGATGCCTCTCCACTCACTTATAGGGTAAAGAGTGAAAAAGAGACAAGAGGTTGACAGGAAGGAGGGGGACGAAGCTCGGAGGTTGAGCACACACATGCGTCACAGCACTAGCAGGATAATGTTTGGTATATCATTAGTCACCTTAGAGTACGATCTGGCGTTGTCCCTGAGAATGTGCTTCGTCACAACGGGATCCGATACAATCACAAACCTCTGCAGCAAAGAAAACGACCACACAGGAACAACGATCAGGCAGTTGCTAGCAAAAAAAAAGGCGATAAAAGCAAACCACGGCAGACGCCTTGACGAAATGAAACCACTTTCAACATCGACAGGCAAAACCAACCTTTGGGCCAAACGACAGGCGGAAAACCCCGCCATAAACAAGATACAGGCTGAAAAGCGGTACGAAAAACGGCTGCCCGATTATAGCGCGTATGTCGCCACGAGCTTCCGGCATGCTTGCATTCACCATGGCCCGCCACCTCCTTTCCTCAGTCGCCAGAAACATGGCTACCGGCCGGCCTGGCGGTCCCAAGTTCGCCAAGGAACGACGAAGCCAGCCTAAACGGTCCACTCTGTACGGGTGGGACGAGGCATGGCGGACGTGGAAGGATGCGTGAGTGGAACGTCGAAGTGGAACGTTGAAGTGGAACGTTGAAGTGGAACGCAAGGGTGACAGACGGGAATGGGAGGGACGGAGAGGGAAAGAAGCGCAAGGGAAAAAAGTGATTGTCGCGCTGTTTTCCTTCTGAGTTACCGTTACCTTCTAGATGCCACTGTGAACTCTCCGCTGGCGATTCTATCAGCGAGCTCGTTGGACTTCTTCTCAAGCAGAGCCTTCTCAAACTTCTTCAGTTCCTCCTTCTCCGGGTCCTCTGCTCCCGCCTGCTGGCCATTCTCCGCTGCGGCTCTGCATCGCCCGCCTGCAGCGCTCTTCCTTCCTGGAACAGCCGAGACCTTCAGCCGAGGAGCCGATCCAAGAAACGAGCTTCCATGAATTACTCGCAGGCCAGAAACTTGCCTATCGCAGGAGTCTCGTCCAGCGGCCTCACTCCTAACATGCCGACTTTGAGCTGGGACATTAGGGACTGAGATTGGACTCGCTCCTAGGAGCAGGGAACGCGAAGCCATCTGGTCCTATTTTACGCTTCGTCCGACGGAGATCGTTTCACTAAGTAGATCACTTTTCCACGTGAATATGGACGGACGTTGCTGGACGGACGTCGCGCTTAGCGATCAGATATCATCCAGCCTTCAACACTAGTCTTTATTGACGACGGAATGCGACGGAATGTCGGCTATCTGAGCCGTTATGGGAGCACCGCTGAGGCCCTAGAGGTTATTAGAGGCTTTAGGGACTCGACGCAATAAAAATTTACTCATGCCCTGAAATAAAATGCGGCTGTGTAAACAACCAGACAAGGGCTAGCAAGCTTCAGGCCAACACACCGATACGCCACAAAAACCCGTCTTCGCGACTTTTAGAGTCGACTCAGATTAGCTTGCGAAGATAAAATGCTAGTGACTAGAATAGTCTCTGAACAATGCCATAGAATGGTCTGGGTGTGCTGACGCTTTTCCTTCTGTTCATCTGGCAACAATGGCTCTCCTGGAACACAGCCACACAAGGCATAGAATCCAGCCAACCAGGTGGACTCAGGAGGAGCAAAAAGCCAGGAAGGCGCCCTTAGGGCTTTTCCCGCCTCTCATTCCGCCAGAACAAACATCGAGGCGCGGAAAGATTGGAGGAGGCTCGGCTGGTGCACCTTGAGCTGTCCAGGCATGGGACCACACAATTTCGGAAAGCCAGTTTCGCTAAGCCACGTGGTTCGTTGGGCCACCCTGTCATAGCCGATGCCTGTGATTAGAAGAACACGCTGAAACTCCGAAGCTTGCGTGGCAGATCGAAAAGGGTAAGCTTTCCACATCCACAATGGATTAGCTGGAGAATGCCCGTCAAGCTGGCTTCCGTGCAACGTGGAGCCAATGAATGAGCCGCTACTGCTGCTTGCTACACGTACTTATACAAACTCTTTCCATAATGATTCTAAGGTAGACCTTATTAGGCGTTGTTGACAAGAAAAGCACTTCCAAGAAGCACCTTCCTGTCAAGGCTTCTACCCCTCTGCTTTCCTTGTTAGTGATGAGGAATCTGAAACCCGCCCTTATTTTGGCACCTGTTATGCTGCGCAAGAAGCGAGAATCATGAATTGCACTGGCGAGAAAGACTACACAAAATTGGCAACATCAAAACCAACCCAATCTCAGAGTAACAAAGTGGACTTAACAAGGGCATACAGGGTGTTATATGAGTCGTAGGTTGTACTATCTAAGAGCACGTACCTGTCTAGCCTATAACTAGACATACAGCGCAAATGTATAAGTTGACACGCCCCCTAGGTAAGACAAGGGGCAGCGCCTAGCAAGAGACATGCAGCTCAGGGCGGCACTACTAGTCCAACCTCTGAGGCAAGGGTCTGAAGACCAGTCAGCAAGAGGACAAACTAAACAAGAGTAGCCCAGGGCGGCACTACTAGTCCGGCCACTGGAACAACAGCCACAAGGCCAGTCAAGATAATATAAGGAGTAGTACACAATCAGGGTCCTGGCAAGTGAGGAGCTACTGGCACTAGACCAAGCTGTACACCGTGTCGTTGATGATCTTTAAGCGCAAGCACCTTAGTAAAGATAACAACTGTGTTAGTACCGGAGGCCAAGTGTACTACGCGGGCCTAGCGGCGCTGCTGTAGCTCGCGTAGGTGGAAGTACCGCAGCTGGATGTGCTTCGTTCTGCCCTCTAGTCGAGGCTCCTGACACTAGAGGATCATGACCCTGTTGTCAGCGTACAGGACCGAGGCAGAGCTAGGCTGCTCACCTAAGTCTGTGAGCAGGAACGTCAGCCAGCGGAGCTCCTATGCCACCATGGCACCAGCATAGATATCAGCCTCAGAGCTAGTATGTGCAACAGACGACGAGCGGGTGGACCTAAAAGAGATAGCGCCTTCACCAAGGCTTAAGCAGTAGCCCTGAGAGGACCTGAGTTTCTCACCGTTGTTCGCCCACAAAGTGTCTGTGTGCCCTATAAGAACCACTGGTCTGCGTCAACCGAGCGCTAACCCATGCCCGATGTACTTGCTAGATAACGCAACACCCTATTAGCGGGCGACCAGTGCCGCGGTCGGTGTCTACCCGTCGCCACAAAGTGAGCGAGGATACAAAGAGGGTATGCGAGATCTGGACGAGTTCAAGTCATCAGGTACATGAGGTAGCCCACAAGCTCTGCGGACTGACCACTAGGCTCAACTGACTCGTCAGGAACTGGAGCCGAGAGCCAGTGATCCACTGGCAGAGGGGTGGGCTGTGCAGAGGAGTATTGAAGGCCGAACCTCTAAAGGACCTAGCATACCAAGTCTGACCGTGTGAGAGTGATTGTGCGCGATGCTCTGTCCCTGGAAATCTGCAGCCCAAGGTAGTAGTGCAGGTGTGTCTCCTCAGCAGCTCGGTCTTCACCGAGGCCAGTGCGTCTCTGCTTGCAGTAGCGAAGACCAGGTCGTCTATGTAGACTAGGATGTAGAACAGAGTCTGGCATGAGTGAACAAAGAGATACCGGTCAGCAGAAGATGGAAAGAACTGGAGGTCTGCTAGTGTAGCACGCAGCATATCGTGCCACACTTGGGGCGCCTGTCGCAGACCGTAGACCGGGCGCCAGAGAAGCCACTGGGTCCCAGGTGGGAAAGAGCAAGAGAAGCCTGGCGGACGACTCATGTACTGTAGATCTGCTCGTGCAGACTGCCCTGGAGAAACTTTGTGGAGAAATCCAATGAGTAAAGCTTGTGTTGGTGCAACCCTAGGGCTTGCACTCGGCTTGTCGTCCTTGTTCGCATGTATGCATGCATGGCATGGAATGACTTGTGAGTCTATATCATTGCTATCTAGTGCTTGTGTGTATGCTTGAATGGTGTACCACAATGCGGTTTGTGCCAGTCAAGACATTAGCGAGTTTTTACAACTCGCATGTCGAGTCGTTGTTTGCGTGTCGCATGCGTTTATTCTATTGTCGAGTGTGAAGAGTCCATCGCGTCGCAGGTGTGTGCAGTAAGCCCTCATCAACTCAAGAAGAATTTATCTTGCAGAATCAAGACCAAGAGCTCAAGATTTCAAGCCCAAGGGAAGTGGATAAATATTAAAATAGTGAAAATAGTAATGCTACTTCATATAGTGTTACATTTCACTTGGTCCAGCCCCTTGTTGAGTTTGTTTCGAGTCCCTTCATGGTTGGGGACTCTGTGGTGGTGTACCACCAACCTGGACCTCGGCTCTTGGGGCTTGTAGAGGCTGAGAACCATCCCAATCTCCATTCTTCTTGCTAAGTTTGTACTTCTAAGACTAGAGTGACTGCTATACCTTCTGCCAGTCAAACCGCCATAGTGTCGTCAAATCATCATGGAACTTCATGAATCAACTTGCTGCTCATAGGCAACAGCAACGCGCTCCAGATCCAACTTAAAGATCATTCTTTGGGTTACAGATCAGATCGCTATCGGTATTTGAATTTGTTTGACGGAAATCCGACTGTGCACTCTATCTCTCATTTTAGGCACATCTGAGCCTATTGTGATTATAACAGCTTGTAGTCGAGCTGTGCTACTACGTGAAGTAGTGCCCAAAGAGTAGTCGTCTTAAGGGTCGGGGCGAAGGTCTGAAATTAGTCAATACCCTCGCGCTGACTGAAGCCTCTTGAAACGTAGCGCGCCTTGAACACCGGCGGCTCTCCAGGAGGGCGCTTCACCTAGAAGAGCCACCGGCCATCGACTACGTTCGCTCCAAGATGCCATCTATGCGTCTATGGCAGCTATCCACTAAGAGGCCCAGGTTCCCGAAGTCTCCTTAGCGTAAGTGCAAGGGGTCGGGATGTCAAGAGCGTTTGGGTCACCCTCTAGGACTAGCAGCATGGAGTAGAGATAGAGAGCGGCCTCGGACAGGAAAGCTAGCTCGTACTGCCTGTCCTCTAGGATGTCATAGCCAAGGTGCACCCCAAGAGGATGAAGGACGGGCAGGGTCAGAGACCAGAGCAGAGGCATAGTCAAGGCGGTGGGTAGAGGCAAAGTCAGCGACGGCTGCGACATGAGCGTCGAGACTGGAGACAGGAATGGACGTGTCGGTAATAAGAGAGGCAAGGACACGAGGAACAAGAGGACTAGCAGACCGGAGAAAGTCAAAGAAAGGATGCGGGAAGATAGCAAGGGATGAATGAGAAGGCGGCGGGAGAAGAGGAGGGGGAGGAGCACAAGACGCATGAGAACAGAGAGACATAGGGTGAACACTCGGAGCGGGAGAGACGGGACGAGCACGACAGGGGTAGTGAGACCACTAGCAAAACGGGGGTGTAGGGTCAGGAGACAACGGAGGAGACACCGGAGGAAAATGAGGGGGGAAACGAGCCGGGTACGAGTTTGGCAGAGGAAACACAGGACGGAAACTGGCGATGAAAGGCACAAGGGGACGGTTCACGAGGAGGAGGCGATGTTGCGGGGGGCGTGGGCGATCGGTCGGGGGAGGGGAGACGGAGAAGGCGAAGGACGGAAACTGGCGATGAATGCAGCTGCTGCTACTGCTGTGGTGGCTGCTGCTGTTGCTCCGCGCCCACACTAGGACCGCCAGCCGCACCACGGCGACCCCCGGGACTCTCCACAACAGCACCCCCAGGACTATCACCCCCAGAATGAGAACCCTCTCCAGCACCCGCGCCACCCCCAGGACCGCCGGGACTAGCCACCACAGTACCCCCAGGACTAGCGCCCCCAGAACGAGCACCCACCCCAGAACCAGCACCCCAAGCGCCAACCCCCTCAGAGCCAACGGACTCCTGCTACTGCAAGCCCTCAGGGCCCCCAAAATCAGCACACTCCTCCAGCGGGCCAACCGAGGGAGGGGAGTGACTTAAAACACACAAGACACGCAGGGGACAAGGAACAGGGGCGGGGTATTTGGGAAACCTCGGTAGGGAAAGCGGGTGTAGAAGGACACAGATTCGTCAAAGGTGACATCATGCGAGTGAAAGAAGCGGTGAGGCGGTGAGTGGTAGAAGTGCCAGTCAGACGCGTCTAGGGGAAGCCAAGAAAGACACAAGGGACGGTGCGGGCAGTGAGCTTGTCCGTGCGAGAATCACGGACGTGAGCGAGGCAACCCCGGACGTGAAACGCAGACGCGTCACCAGGGGACCCAGTCCAAAGAAGAGTCCGGTGAAACCTGCGGCTGCTGGGAGTGTGGCCATAGGTTAAGCTGGTGAGCAGCGTAGTGCACAATATACGGGCACAGAAAATTGGGTGCTCAGGTACGAGCCACCTCCATGACCAAACCGATGCGTCGCTTAGTGAACCCATTCTGTTTTGGGGAGTTTGGCAGTGTGTACGATTGGGTGATGCCCTCCGCACGACATAACTGAACAAGCCGACCAGAGGCGAACTCACCGTCACGGTCAGAGTGGAGACGGAGTAGTATCAGGGTGCAGTGGACACGCGCATCTACAAGCTACAGGATAAGAATGCCAGGCACGTTGGCCTTCCGCTCTAGAGGAAACACCGTGGTG